ATGATTTGATTCAAAACTATAAGTTTAAATGTGATTTTCAATGAGATTTGAGTATGTGAGCATGTCAACAACCTTTAAATGGATAAATGAATACAAAACAATAGCCCATGGCCTCATACATGTCTTTCACAAGATTATCACATGCTAAACCTCCAAGGTAGTTAAAAATACATTCTTGAAACAAAAGTTGATACCAAACGGATACAAGTACTAATATAAACATGCTTGGCCCTTGGCCTCCATACATATAAGCTTCTAATATCAAAAGTAAGTAGTTGAGTATCATTACACATCAAGGTAGCTACATTAGCCTAAAAATACCATACATCCATGGTATGCAAAAATATAACTTCAAAAGCAAAGCATGTTAAACACTTGCATGTCAATAAACAAAAATGTTCCAAATTGCTCATAAGCCACTAAGGATGATGAACATCTAAGAACATAGTCTCCTTACCTGTAAAACAACCTAAACCACTAGGGTGAGTAATCAAGTTACTCGTAGGAAGAAGCATATGCGTATACCCTAAAGTTTCAATATCATTGCAAGATCAATATAGACGAATACAAGGGAGCATTTCACTTAACGTCTATGTTCAAGGTGTTCAAAATGAATGTACTTAATAACATCAAATCGCATGAAACAAAAATTACAAGTTACAATTTAACCATTGATTGTCAACTTGGAATTGAATGCGAAATCAAAAAGTGGAATCCTTGGACATCTAAGCTCGGAATTCTACCGAGACCTCAATGGTAATTCCGAGCATTAATTCGCTAGGAAGACCACCCTAGTGCGCACTATCTCAATTGGGGAGAACTCATACCTCCCGCACTAGAGCCAAACTCTAGCCATGTTACTTGTAGCAATGTCCTTAGAGAATCCAAAATACATCAAGTTCAAAACTTATACATAATATTAAGGCATATATACCACTTTCCATGCACAAACATTTTGAAACCACACAAACCATGTCTTAGGGTTCAAAGTCTAGAATGACATAATATATGACAAGTCTTTAACATGATATAATATGCAAAATAATACCATTAACTTATCAATTTAAATTATGCCTCAACAACAAGTTTTATATACTAAATCTTAACATTTTAGCAATAAGCTTCTAAAATAATCACAATTATCATCAACAAGATTATAGAATTATCACCACTATAAATATAGCAATTCAAGTCAATAGGAATTGTATATAACATTAATAATTCTACAAGAGCTATATATCACTACCACATGTAAAAATACTAGAATTTAGCATACTACTAATTTATATAATTCTTCTACACATGGTTTATATATATCATACATACTTAAATCAAGAAACCCTATGTCAAGAAGTGAGGGTTTACTATAATATGCAAAACTATCATATTAAAAGCATGTACACAATATATATTAAACCCCAATGATTATAAAACACTTAAAATATAAACATACTACCACCCCTACCTCAATAGAGAATTGAATCTCTATAATTCAAGTAACCAAGCTCAAAATGGAAAACAAGATTAGGGTTAATGAAGAGGAGAGTGAGGGGAAACTTTTGTGTTCCAAGATTTTAAGTCTAGGGTGAATGGAAGGAGGCCAAAAATGAAGTCAAAGCCATTAACCAAGCTTTTCTCCAATGGTGGCTAGGTTAGGGTTTTGAGAGAATAAGTGAAGATGAAAGGAATTAAGTGAAAATGGTGAGTGGAAAGTCTAGAGATCCTCCACTCACTATGTGTTCTTACACTACCTCTCACACACACACAATGCAAGACTTATTTTGGTGCCTACACTTGTCACAAATCAATGGCTCCTTCCCAAGCTTAATCTTAAGCTTACACTTGTCAACCATCTAAGCCAATAAGTGCACCTATCCTAGGCTAACAAGTGGGTGAATCTCCACCCTCTAAGTGTCAACAGATTGTGCTCCCAAGTCATTCCACCCAAATGCCTACAAGTGGCTCAATGAGAATGTGACACTTGTCATATTTTTCAAAAATTGCAAAAAAATCAAATTTCAAAATATCTTACAAATTAAATTACAAAAAAGGTTCCTAAGACGAAAAATAATTACTTTATGTAATTACACAAACCCCCCCCCCCCCCCCCCAAAAAAAAAAAAGAATAATTACAATAAAGTATTTATCCATGCCCTTTATGAAAAAAGTAAGCAACTAACATGCTTTTCTACAAAAGTAAAAATACCACTATCATGGAAATCGAATATCATGGATGCATGCAAAATCGGAATCAAATCCGAGCACAACAAGTGAGGTTATGCAAGGAAAAACGATAAACAGGAAAAAGACGAAAAAAGAAAATCACCAAAAAAAGAAAAGGAGGAAAAAGACCGAGTCATTACATGGATAGAAGAAGAGTTGCCATGACAGAAGAAGATAATACATCTGCAAAAATGAGGTGAGTAATAGACAACTCTTTGTATCTCTAGGAGATTGGATAAAGTGGTTTTGCCAAGTATAGTTGATAAAACATGTATTATAATGACAAAGAAGAAAGGTGGCATAGAGTCACCTTGCCTCAAGCCCTTGAACTTCTTGAAAAACCATGGAACTCTCCATTTAATGAAATAATAAATGAGATGGAAGAAATGAAAGAGTGAATCCAAGAGATGAAAAGGGAGGGGAAACCAAGTAATTTGAGAGTGTCAATTAGAAACTCCTAAGAGATAGAATCAAAAGCCTTTATTTGATCAACTTTGATGGTACATCTAGGAGAACTAGAGTGTCTGTAATAACCATTAAGTAACTCTTGTGCTATTAGAATGCCATCCTCAATTTGCCTGGTTAGAATGAAAGCTTGTTTATAAGGGGGCAATGATGGAGGGCAGTGTGTGTTTAAGTTTATTAGCAAGGAGTTTAGAGATACATTTATATATGGTGGAGTAACATGAAATAGACCTAAAATCATTGAGGTTAGAAGGGTTAGGGGTTTTGGGAACCAGAGAAATGTATATAGAATTGACTTCCTTGAGCAATTTCCCTGTTGAAAAGAACTCTCTTATTGCTAAGGTGATAGCTAATGTCATGCATGTCTTGGCCAATAATTAACTAAGGTTTCTTGAAAAATAGTGCATTATAGCATTATTGCATAATTTTGTCCACCCTTTAGGACCATGTTTTGTCACTTTTTGGGCATGTTTAGAAAGATTTAGGTCCTAGTCGCATATCAAAACATAGTCATTAGTTTCTAAAACATTGACCTAGGTTGGTATTTCATCCAAATTTCGTTAAAAGCTATTAATGCATTGTAATGCACCTTCCTTTCAAAATTTTTGGAATTTTCTTATAATTTTCAAATTGACATTACATTTACATAAAACATCCTCTTAAACATGTTTAAAAGCTTGTTTTTCAAAACAAAACTCTAGAAAGATAGAATATTCTAGGTTAAATTATATCATTTTTTGAACTACGTTAGACTTGAATATTTCATTTTAAAATAAAAATACATAGGCACCACCCTTGAGTTTTGTTCCATCAATACAATTCACTTATGCTTCGTTCGGTAGGAAAGAAAAAAATTGGACGAAGGGAGAGAAAAAGGGATATATGAGATATCCTTAGGGAAGATACTATGTCTCTCCTTCTTTTTGTTTGGTTGGATGGAGGAGAAGAAAATGAGCTCAAAATTTACTATGTTCGTTAGGAGAAAAAGAAAGACAAAGTTTTAAATTATTTTTACCATTATATCCAGTAATATCTATAATATTGTAATTTATAAATGATAGTACTATAATATAAAATATGTATAGTTTAGGATATTATTTAATTTTATAAAATCTATACAATATCCCACTTGTCTTCCCTCCTTTCTTTGTTCATTTTTGAATAGATGAAAATTTGTAAAGGATGAAGAATGACTCATCCCTCCTATTATCCTTTCTTTACTTACAACATCTCTACCAATCAAATGAAGGTTGTTCCTTCCATCCTATTAATTTCTCTCCACATCTCTTCTGAACAAAGGAAGGTTTGTGCTTCAACCTTATTTCTTTTTGCATTCCTTCCTTCCTTCCTTCCTAACAAAATATTAATTTATCAATTTAAAGTTGGCATTAGTTGCCTTATACATTCTTCATGTTTAGTACAAAGGTCATCTTCAAATAGATTAATTCATGCCTATCTAACAATGTTGCTGCAAATGGACAGATGCAATTCTCTTCTCATATGGGCAGCTCAGCACTCCAAAGTTTCGTAAAGAAACTGTATGTGTTTTGAAGTGTTCTCTTTCTCTCTCTTATGCTCCGTTTGGCATATGGAAGAAAATTGAATGGAAAGGAGAGAAGAAGGGATAAATGAGACTTCCCTAGAGAAGAGATTGTATACTTTCCTCTTTTTATTTGGTTGAGTGGAAACAAGAGAATGGGATAATAACTTATTTTGTTTATTAAGAGAGAAAGGAAGAGAAAATATTAATTATAAGGAAAATTTTGTAATTTAAGAACATTTATAATAACATTATCTTTCTTCCTTGGTGTCTTCCGTTCATTTTTGGAAAGAATAATATTTTTGGAGGAAGGTTGACTTATCCATCCTCTTTTTCTCTTCTCTCGTTACTTCCTCTCTACCACATAAATGAAGTTTGTTTTTTCCTTCCTCTCTTCCCTCCACCCCTTTTCCTACCCACCAAACGGAGCATTAGTAATGTAGTTGTCCTCTTGGCCGTAGGGTTTTGGCCTTTAGATTCTCTGTGTTTGCACCGGGTATGCCATGGTGGTCCTTGTAATCTCTTCTTTTCTTTTTATTCTTTTGTACATATCTTACTTTACCAAAGGGGAAAAAAAGGTAAAAATGCAGCATTTGTAACCCTAGATGTTTCAGAAAATTTGACCACCTTTATATATATATATACACTTTAGAATTATATTCAATTTCTTTAAGAAATAAATGAAAAAAGAACTACAAAATAAAGAAATATATTCAAAAGCATCATACGCACATTTGAACATTATACTTGAAGAAAGACCTAGCAAATTAATTCAACCACCCAAAAAGGTATCCACTCTCTTGTTGTTAGAGGCAGATAAAAACTTCATGCAAATAGGAGCATTGACACCAAACAGAGAGAGCACAGCAGCAGGAATTCCCCACAAAGAATCTCCACAAATCAAGCCTGACGCCAAAGCCGGCGCGAAATCCCTAGCCTTCTGCTTGTTCTTCATCTCCCAAATGAAAAGAATCAAGCTCCCAATGCACATGTCAATGGAGAAATAAGCCCCCAAATAGAAAGGTATCGCCATGCACATAGGGCTCGGAATAAACCTGTGTAACCTCCATCTGGTTTCCCAGCGCTTCAAAACCTCTTTTATAATATTTATTGCAATGGCAGCGAAGAAGAAGATAATGGAAAGGGCAAGGCAGTGCTTGGGAAGGGCAGAGGTACCCTCAACTCCAAGAAGAGCAATGCTGCGATACAATAACGCGTAGGGCGCTGGGTACGACCCAGTGGGGTCTCCCACTGGATAAGCCTTGTAGAAGAACCAGAAGACTAGAGGTGACATGACACAACCCATGGCAGTGCCACAGACTTGGCTAAAGAACATGGAACGAGGCGATGCACACGTCAAGTACCCGGTCTTGAAGTCTTGCATGAGATCAGAAGCCGTGGACACAATGCTCATCATCACGCCACACGAGACAAGGCCTGCAAGAACTCCTCCTTTGTCAAGGCCAACCCAAGCGCTAAATAAGATGATGGCGAGTTTGCCATAGTTAGAGGCGAGGGACCAGTCAGTGAGACCACAACCATAGGAGTTGCAGAAGGCCAAAACCGGCGCAATCAAGTAAGCAACCAGTAAGTGGTACCATTTGATTTGGTGGAAGATGAGGGGTATTACAACAATGGATATGGCTGCAAGAGCTAAGTACCCAATGACCGCGACTGTAGTTGGGATTTCGTCTTTCAAGAAGTACTCGGTTCTTCTTTGCTCCTTTAAGGACTGATGATCCTCATCATTTTTAGGGGTATTGGAATAGGATTCTTTCTTCGTAACCGTCTTCTTCTTCTTCTTCTGCGCTATGTAGTCCATTGATGTCACAATCATCATGAGGAACACTTGGAAGAGACCATCACCAATCATCATAGCAATAGCAAGAAAAACCTATATTCAAGAAAGAAAAAAAAACAAAAAATGAAATGATCCAGATGAATATTTGTATAATTTGGGACTGAAAAATTAATGTGTTAACACTTCCCTAAGTGACAAATATATAAGAAATGAAATTAGGTCATACCCTATATCCTTGGATGCCATGAAGATTGCTTGAAGATAGGCTTGCACTATACCAGTCACCTTTATTGCGCTCTATCAATGGCCACATGAGTCCCCATGAGAAGATAGCTCCAAGAAGCAATGATATATTTACCATGTATGGGCAAATCATCCCAACACCAATATATGTTGTTGAGAAATCAAAATAGAACCTGTAATAAAATTGACCATGGTCAGAAAATCATGTTTTTTTCGAAACCAATCTTCGAATACCAAATGTCAATTTAAGTTCCTAGCTATTTAGGAAGTTCATTAATTATTGAGGAATTTTTTGAAACAGATCGATATCTTTCGATATCAATTTTTCATTTTAAGTTCTCAAGGAATTTAAGTCAATAGGTCTGAATCAAGCAAGTAATAATCATTTTCATTACCAATAAATTAATTTCTGCTAATAGGCATTGCTTCTAGTTCACAAGTGAAATATTATGCAAACCATATATCAACAACTAATAAATTTCATCAATGTCCTAGATAATTTTGAAGTGTATGCATGAGTATTAAGCCTTGGAATGCAACAACAACATAGAGGTAAGTCATCCACAAATAAAAATAATTAATAAAAATATTAATTGGAAAAGGAAAAGAGAGAGAGAGAGAGAGAGAGTTTTTGTGTGTGTGTGTGAGAGAGACCATACTTTTGTTTAAAGGCTTGTAGACCAAATGTAGGGAAGCTACTAAATCCACATCCATCACCACCAGCAAAAAACCACTGGAAAATTGCAAATACAAAGCTAAAACCGAAGGACTTGAAGAGGGTCGCAACTTGTTTCCTGTACCCAAAAAAATGAATGGATTATTAATAGACAAAAAATGAGCACATAAATCACTAAAAAAATTTCTTCTCCCCCACCCCCAAATTTTATTATTTATTTTCTTAATGAAAGAAAGAAGATCGAAATAATGTTGGTGTAAAATTTTGTCATATGTATGATGAAAACTCTATTTTACTTTTTAATTTATGTCCCTCCCCAGCAACCATTTCATAATATAGAATATAGAGAAGATATCTTACTTTGCTAGTTTGGCTCCTTTAGGTGTGTGGAAGCTGTTGATAAGGCATGCAGTTGCAGTTCCACTAGGATATGTTAACTTGTACTTGAGGATCATCAACTGAGGAAAATTCAATTTAACAATTAATAATAAAAAATAACATTAATTAATTATAAAAAAAGATTAGCTATATAGGTTGATATTGGTATGTTAAAACTAGGAAGAACATATCAGAAAATTAACCTAATCAGTGTATTTATATATATTTATGCAGGGAAAAACAAAAAATAAAATTCGATGAATTGGTTTAATTTGTACCTTTCTGAGAGGCACAATTGAGAAGAGGCCAACAAAGCTGACAATAAAGAGAAATCCAGTCATCCAACCCAGAGAAAGTTTCTTCACATTGTTTGGCAAGTTCCCTGCATCTGCTTGAGCGGCAACCTTTGCACTCATTCCCAGCATATAACTTGCTGTGCCACCTGAACATAATTTCCCACAAGTTAATTACCAATTAGTTAATTCAAAACAACAACAAAAAAAAAAAAAAAAAAAAATTGTTTGAGAAAAAAGGTAATTAAAAAATTAAGAAGGGAATTTCTACATAACAAATTTGAATTTAATAATTCATGCAAATAATTCTTTGTTTTTTTGTTTTTTTTTTTTCTAAACATTGTGCAACAAATTTCTTTATTAACAACAACATTACTTTTGAATGAAATTAACACAAAATAGAATCGTTGCTAAATAAGCCCTAACCCAACCCTAAACCGTAAGTTCGAACTTTCAGTTGGATGGTATAATCTCTCATTCCTAGTAAAAGTTTGGAGATTGATGACCAAACCCTTGTACTTTTTAACTTAAAAAAGAATAGAAAAAACAAATAGTAAAAACACACACACACCGAAAAAAAAAAACCTTACTGCTAAAAGCAATCCCAGAGGAAGCAACAACGCATGTTTGGATGACAGTGTTTTCTTGACTGGTGAAGGGCTGTTTGAGGCAACCAAAATTTTCTAGCAACCACGTCCAAGCCTTCATGATCGCGAAGCCCAACAAGCCGGCGGCGATGTTGAAAGAAGGTATGACACCGGTGGTGAGATTAAGCTTGCAAACAATGACGTTGAAGACGATGCTCAACACGAAACTGGTCACCATTGACCTCACTGTTATTTGTTTCCTCCATGAAGGCACTTCCACTTCCTCTCCCTCTTCCACTTCCTCCCTCTTCTTTAAAACTACAACCCTTTCTTTTTTCCTCTCTACATCTTCTCCACCACCTCTGATCTCCATTCCTTCTCTCTCCATTCTTTCTTTCCTTCTCTCTCTATCAAACTACAAACCTACGACTTTAGTTGACGAGAGTTATGTAGTGGTGGAAGAATCCTGGTAACTAAAGGAACTATAGGTTGGATAGGAATAAGATGGTAGATCCACTAGTGTTGGTCGTTCAAATACTTGGGTTTTCGATCGTGTGCTAAAATTTTTCCCATTTTATTTTTGCTGTCAATTTTTAATCAGGATTTTATTATTATTATTTATTTATTTATTTATATTTTTGCTGTCCTATAGCAAGGAACTATAGGTTGGATAGGAATAGGATGGTATATCCTTGTCCCCGTGTTAATTATTGGAGAAAATAAAAATTTGGGGTTCTAAAATACCTTTTTTTTAAAAAAATGAAAATAAAAAATCCACCCGGTATAAAAAAAATAAAAAATCCTACATTTTTCAAATTGAGCAAATTAGGAAATTTTATCTTGTAATTAAAATAAAATTTTGGTGTTCTAAAATACTTGCTGTGCCACCTGAACAATAAGCAATTTCCTAATTTGGTCAATTTGAAAAATGTAGAATTTTTCAGCCTACAAGATAAAATTCCCTAATTTGGTCAATTTGAAAAATGTAGAATTTTTTAAACTTTTTTTAACACAGAGGTATTTGCTGTATATAACAGAATTTTTTATTTGCACATTACACTTTTGAATTTTATATTTTTAAAAATAAAACCATTCAAATTCCGATTATATTTTTACTATTTTTTTTTTTTTCAAAATTTTATTTTACTATAAGCAAGTGGAAATTCGTTTAGACCAATAAGCATGTAGAGAAACATTGTTTAATTAGGTCTGTAGCTTTTGGGGGAAGGCCTAACTGGCTTATCTTGGGGCTAATTTCACTTAGCCATTGTTCTATTCTTTATGGGCCTCTCTCAGGCCCAGTCCACTCATCGAACTTTGTAAATTCGGACATTGCTCAGCTTTTCGTGAGGGACAATTTTGGCATTTTATAGTTTAAAAGAGTGATTTTATCATGTGGTTCTCCTCATGATAGTTTTCATAAGCTCTCCTTTGAATTAGTGCATTTTGTGCACACAAGTATGCATAACTTGTATCTTTATGAGACCAATTTTAGCATGATCTCATTGTGTAAAAAAAAAAAAGAAACATAAAATAAAATTATTCGAGATCAAAGATGATAGGTTAATTTGGTAAAATAAGTTAAAAGAAAGATGACATAAATGTTTGATAGATTTGTATGATTGTGTAGTTATATAAAATACCCTTTTAAATGGTTACACGTGTTGCCTTAAATTTTTAATATATATGATCACAACAAAAAGATGAAGAGTTCACGAGAATACTATGAGGTTAACCTTATGATAGTATCACTCATTTTTAAAAGAAAAACAAATGAAAGTAGAATGAGAATTTTTTTTTTTATAGTTGGTCTCATATTTGAATTAGGGTTTGCCATTTTAAATATCAAAAAGATGACATAGGTACATTTTAGTAAGTTTTAAGTGATTCTGGTGTACTTAGTGCATTACATTGATTTTCAGGGGCAGAACTATTGGACCCTAAATTAGAACCGAACCAAAAATTCACGGTTCTATTATTTTGAAATCGTGATCAAACCGAACCATTATGGAACTAGAACAAACTGTTTAGTCCGATTTGATCTGATTTGATTTTTCGATTTTACCATTTTTTTGTGCACCCTAGCAAGAACCACCAAGATGAGGTACACGCTATAGTCCCCATACATCATTATGGACCAATTTCAGTTGTTCTGATTTTGGAGATCTTGGTACTTTTGTGATGCTAACTTTTTTCTGTTTCCTAAAAACATGTCTTCAAATAAATCCAAATCAAGCGATGGTAACCCTACCAACTGCCCTTTTGACACCATAATCTTCATTCCTTTCAAACTCATATGCCCAAGCCTTTGATGCCACGTAACAACTTCAACCCTTAAATTTGTCACAGTTAAATACAATTATTGTTACGAGTGTCAATCACATATAGGGTGCGGGTGCATTCGTTTTTGCCACAAGCTGACACCATGGACCCTCTGGTCATCTTTCCCAAATCACTCGTGAAATACGTTACAATTCTAGTGTCACACAACCTCCCCATAGAAATTAAATTTCTCGTCAGGCCTGAAACGTGTCTCACATCCTTCAATTTAAATAGCGTTCCATTAGTTGGGTAATCTACGCATCACCCTTTCCAAAAATGTTGCAGGCTCATCATCACCCACGTAAACTTTTCCAAAATTCCCTTGCACATAGTTTCAAAGAACTCCCTTGCGCAAGGTAGCATGGAAAGAAACACCGGGGCCCACAATCCAATACTCACTACTGGAATCCATCGACAAGGTCAATGCATCGTTGTCCTCTTCATCGGTGAGATTCATTGCATCCATAAGGACAACGATGCATTGACATCGGTGAGCTTTGCCATCACAGTTATCTGAAAAACTTGACAGGAGTAGTAGGGCTCTGATTTGTCGTCGAACACGATACCAATTGATTCCAACTGATTTGTGATGGTGTTAAAATTGTTGAGGTGTTCAGCTACGACAGTGTCATTAACCATCTTCAGGTTAAACAATTTCTTCATCAAATAAACCTTATTCGATGTTGAAGGTTTCTCGTACATCTTCGCTAGGGATACTAACAACCCTGTTGTCGTATTCTCTTTGGAGATGTTTGAAGCAACCGATGGTGAGAGACTCAAACGCACCATTTCTAGGGCTTTGCAATTTAGCAAGGTCCAATCTTCATCCTTCATCGTATCTCGTTGTTTTCCTAAAAGAGATTGATACAAATCTTTCTGGAACATATAGTCTTTCCAGAAGTTGAAGTTGGAACCATTGACCTTTCAATCTTCACTTTCCCATCTTTGGTAACCTCAGCCTTGTACCAGTTGTTAGGAAACAATCAAAACAATAAATGGATAATGCACCACGAAGACAACCAGCTATTTACATAACCAAATCACTTGGGAAACAAAATAGAAATCACGACACATATTTTACTTGGGAAACAAAAACAAAATAGAAATCACGACATATATTTTACGTGGTTTGACAAGATCGTCTACATTCACGGTTCATACTAGTTTCACTAATTTTAATAATGGAAGAGTACAATTATGTGATTATCAGCCCTCTAAATAGGCTTAGTACTAGAGTTACACCACATTCACCCTAATAACCTTCGTAGCCAAATTTTTTTTGCACCCAGCTCCAAACAATTAGGGGCTCCACAAAACCCAACATGAAGAAGGTGACTAAAAAACTTGCTGCCAAACTGAAGGGCTATTAATGGTAAGGGAAATAATTCTTGCACCAAATAGTTGCGTGAATTGTTAGATCCACTCTTTTAAATTAGCCAAATATGTAACAAATAAGAAAGTGGAGTCCTACTTAGTTGATTTGGTATAAACAGTCAATTAAAAATTATTCGACTAGACGATTTCACTGTAAGTGTTCAGTGTGAATATTACTACTCTAATAATAAAAAGACTTTTGGAAGAGTGAAATTCTTAATAATCTGATCATGCAAACAAAATAGAAACTAAAAAAAATATTGATATAACAGAAAAAAAGTGATGCCATAAAAGTAAAGAGAGTTATGCTTGAGACATGTACTATTGTCCCCGATGTAGTCACTTTCACATTGAAATGTGGAATCATTTCATTCAACGGTCAAGCAGCGATGCATTGTCACGATAATACGAATTATTGTGAACACAACGCAAATAAAAACGTTCGAAATCGTACAACGGAAATAGCTCATCTCGAAACTTGAATGATTAAAAAGCCAATTGAAAATTCTTTTTATTAATACTATTACTGTTTGATGGGTGAGTCGGAGAATTTTTAAGATAAAGAAACAAATTTCGTCGAGGCAACAAAGGACCTAGATGTGAGATTCTTAGTTCCCAGGTAAGCCTTCTTTCACTTCTAAAAAATAAATCGACTTAAAAAAAAAATTCATTGTTTCTTTCGGAAATAAGTTCTCATTTTCATTCTTCAAGAGTGGATGGATTATTTTTTTATTTATTTTTTTTCAGATCATATTTTTGCTCAATTTTACTTTATCTATTAATATGATTAAATCAATAACCATATAAGAACAAAAATAAAGCAAATCAACACACAATTAGGAATGTAAAAACCATATCTTTTAAACCATATCCGGATTCTTATGTTTAATAATTCCCTAATTTAGTCCTATGTAATTAGGGTTCTAATATGAATTTGAAAAAAAAAAAAAAAAAAACAAACTAAAGGCACCACTCCTCTCCGGATCTCACAATGACGAGTGGCAAAAGCCTCGTGCACTAAACTAGCCCTTCAAATCATTAAACTCCTTTTCAGTTCCCAACAAATCTGCACACATTTTACTCATCTTTCAGTCCAAAATACCTTGGTTCAAGGTATGTTCAATTCTAACCAAAAATTTTAACACCTAAACCACTAGTCCTCTAAGATCTCAATTACCTTACATAAGTATAATTTGAACCATGGAAGATTTCATCAGTCTCCATTGTTGCTATATTTGCCAACACACTAACGTATGTCTTAAAATAAGGTACAATCACACAAGAATTACAACATTAACCACATTCTAAAGCCCTTTAAAACATGTATATGAAGAACAATATGTGAAGTTTTCATGTGCAAAAAAAAAACCTACCTATTGAACATATTCAATCAGGGAAGCTGAACGCAACAACAATACCAACACTAATTCCCCATTCTCACATGAAGTCCTCGAAACAACATCCGTATCAATGCCATATATCATCAAGTAAAACAAAGAATCTCTGTTCCACAAGAATGTCAAAGATGATACTGTGTGTATATATGAGACCAAAAATCCGGAGCACGGAAATAGCTCCAACAATAAAAAGAAAACCATTATTACATTATTAGAACTGATATACATCATCATAATTAACCTTCTTCTAAAGTCAGTGATGACAACTACAATACAAAAATATCATATGACAAGGTCTTTTCTGTCTTCTCAGTAATTAAAAATGATGAAAGAGGGATTCTCCTAGTAGTACACTGTCCCTTGGGCTGTATGCTGCTCTTTTTCTAAAGAATGAAACTAATTCTAAAAGTAATTTTCGCGATATTAGTCGTTTCAAAATCCAAATGGTGATTTTCTCCTGCTTCCGCCTTCTCCATATTGCTCATTCCACTTCCTCAGTTCATTCATGCTTGTTGCATCATATGCAATTGATGGCCCCACCTACAGCATAAAAAAGACAAACTTGACTTCTCATGAAAAAGTTAACCACGGGGGTTTTTCATTATAAACAAAAAAAAAAAAAAAAAGGTATGAGCAGATAACAAAAAACATGTTCTTAAGGATTTGATTTGAGCCTCGAGAGTTGGCGCTATATTCATTCAGGATCTTAATATGTGAGAACTGGACTTATGAACTGAAATGACATCTTAGAAAATAGTAACTTGATGCAGGTAGAATTTTCTTTCAACAATCTGTAGTACATCCTAAAGGATAAGGAGTATATCTACTTCTTACAAAAATTTTACTTTGCAAGCAAGGCTAATTTGGAAATCTTCCAAACATTGAATAACCATGCAATTATTTTCATCATTAAATCTTTTATACTTGCCCTAAGAACTTTGCCACTTCCATACTCAACCAAACACATTTCCCAAAAACTGATGATGTCCTCTCCCAAGAAGGATCCTCCGAAGTTCCTCATCTTTGAAGAACACAATCTACTCATACAAAGAATTGTACAAATAATTAAAAACACATGTACATGTCCATTTATTCACAAGCGTAATACGCCTAACTTTTTCCTGAGCATTTGGACTAATATGTCATATTTGTATCTAAATAAAGGATCTGTCTAGATCAACGAATCTCCTTCAATCTTGACAAGTTACTGCACTTATCTTTGGATTCTAACTATTTATTTTTATCTAGAAAGGCAACCAATGGTTTTAACCTCTAAGCAAAACGGAAAGGGTTCTGACAGCTTAAGTTTTCACATTAATCTCAAAAACCACTGCATTATTTTTCATAGCTCAAGTGCTACCACCGTACAAGTAATTAAACACAAAAAAAATTTCACAGCTCAAGTAATTAAATTGATCCTCCTCTACAAAATTCAGCTCTTGGGAGTTTTAAGATGTCTGTTGAAGACTAAGCGTCTTCATTCATTTGTTTGATTAGAAGGGTAGGGAGGACTGGAAGAGGCATGCCTAAGGACATGCCCTTCCCTTCATTTTGTTTGGTTGAGCGAGAGGGAAGGAAAGGAGTAATCCCTTTTATTATTTGGGAGAAGATAAGAGTAGGCTTTGGATATTCAGGGAAAAAAAAAAAAAGAGTAGGCTTTGGATATTATTTTACCAGTATACCCCAGAATATACGACAAAAAATTAAGAAATATGGGTAATAACTTAATTTAAATTTTATACGACAACTATCCTTCTCTCTTCTTCTGTTGAATTTTGAATGGAACCATCCTCTCTCTCTCTCTCCCTCTCTTTCTCTCGATATTATATATATATATATATATATATATATATGAAACAATGGAAGCATGCACAATCCTTCTCCTCTTCCTTCCCTCATCCTCCTCCTCTCCTACCAAACATACAATTAATTGCAGTGACAAAAGCTAACATGACATATCCTCAATGCAATCACTCAAATAATTACTTGCAAGTTGGATATGGTAGTCAACCGATAGTTACTATCATCACAGTGAAATTCAATCCCTGTAGCAACTTTCTCCACTTTAATGAAAGATATAAAATCTTCCTCTCATCTCCACCACCAAAAAAGCTAGAAATCAACAATAAAAATTTTTGCTCATGTGAGACATCATTATTTGTCCCGTATAAGATGAAAAACTCTCCCTCTGCTATACATTTCTGATACTCCTGAATGCCAACAATTTTATGTGTACTTTAAGTAGTGCATCGGAAGATGCTGTAATAATTGCCGTCTTTTCCTATACTACATACATGTAGGAGTCAATAAGGTATCTCCCTTGCTATTCACAACTTGAATGGAGAACTTCAATTCTTCAACAACCTCCCGCAATCCTGCTCTCTGACAGAATACTCTAACATTCACTTTTTATAAGATTCAGGCTTGGAGCTTATTCAAATTACTTCATTAACATCTTGCTCTGTTATATCAAATATTTTCTTACTTGCATTAGATTGAAATAGCAATAGAACTGGTTGTAAGAATACTAACTGAATTGAACAAAATAAAAACACATAACAAAGAAAACACCGTATTATAAAGTAGAGTATACTAAGTTTGAGATAAGAGGATTGTTCTTGAAAAGGGTGAAAATTCAACAATGGAATTATTGATCCTCTTACAGTGTAATTATTGATCCTCTTACAATGTAATACTTGCTAATGATTCTAGCTTAACACTTGCAACCCACAACCCATCAGCTCAAGACAACAAATTCTTTAAGACACATTTCTTTGAACATAGTCAATAGGTTATGCAAAAACAGACATTTTGCAGCAGATCCTGTGCAAAGCACAAAACACCTAACCAAAAGGCCTTGAAAACATATCATCTTTTTCTTATAATTACCGCAATTTTTTATTCTTCAAGCCAATATATCTTATGGAAACCACATCTCTATAACATTGTTGACTTTGGCCTCAAAAAGTATTACCGCTTTATCATTTATAATAGGATAGTAAAATATTTTGAAACAAGTGGAAATTCTACCTTGGCCTTGGACTGAATGAAATCATCCAAAGAGAGTGGTCTCAACGCTGGAGCCACCTCATTTCTATCTCCCTATAAAAAAATAAAAAGGAAACCAAATATTAGAAGCAAGCACAAGAAACGTCATTATATAAGACAGTTAAAACCAAGGGCCATTACCCAATGTGGTCCCTATTAACCGAAAGGCGTAGTGAGGGGAATGAATTGGAAACAGACTAACATTTGCCATTATTTGCAAATAGTGGTTGCTTTCAGGATTTGGATCTTAAGTTCCCATGCTTGACAATCCAAGCAATTCACTAGTGCACCAAGCAATGGCCCCTTAGAGAATTAAAAACCAACTAATATAAACATCATGCCATCCTATTGCAGTTGGTAGCTTTGGAAGCTACTCCGAAATTTGAAACATCTCTCCGCAATACTGAAGACAGTCATTAATCTTAAACACATTACCACACTTGGCGTGGGCATGACAACTCTTACTAACAATTAATTCCAGGAAATTCTTGTCCTGATAGAAAAGAAGTCGGGGTTGGACCTTCAAAATATTTATAGAGGAATGAAAATTAGATCTAAATGTAATTACCTTCTTCTCTTCCTCTAAAAGTTCTTGGACAGGTCTATATGCAGCTGCAATACAGAGGTTCTGCAAAACAGTTTTAAAAGTAATTAAGAAGTAAGCACCATGAACTTCTGGTAGTCATTAAGTTTGAGCACATTACCTTCAAATCACTCCCGGAATATCCTTCAGTTGCATTTGCAAGATCGTCAAACTGAAAGCCAGGTTCCAGTTTTTCTTGAGCAAGAAATATTCGAAGTATCTTCACACGATTTCCAGCATCTGGTAGATCCACGTATATCCTAAAAACCAACCAACATATTTTATCAATTTTATTCATCATTTTTTTTTTTGTTGTGGGGTGGGGGGGGGGGGGGGGGGGGGGGCGGGGTTCCTGGAACAGTATTAACAGTATTTTTTTTGCTACTTTGAAGTTTTCTCAAAACAAAAAGTTTGGGAACTCCAAAAAACAATTGCATATGCAGGTGAAACATGTTTCACCCACATCCAAGACAAAATGAGAATCAGATTCAAAGAAAACTAATAGATATTCCCATCCAAAATGCTTCAAACAAAGCTTTGGTCAAGACAGAACTTAAGTTGGGAAACAACTTTCTGAAACAATCTTACCTTCTTGGCAACCGACGAATGACAGCATCATCAAGGTCAAATGGGCGATTTGTGGCACCAAGGATGAGGATTCTTTGGCTGTCTTTTGACCTCAATCCATCCCAAGCTGCCATGAACTCATTTCGCATTCTTCTAGTTGCCTCATGCTCAAAAGAACCACCACGAGCACCAAGCAAACTGTCAACCTACATGAATTGAATCAAAGTCTAAACAGAAGAATATACACAAACCAGGAACATAATGTATTATACCAGCACATCAATTCTGGTCAACTGCAATTATGAACTATGTTGTCAAAATAAAGCAACAATTTATATATCCTGCTGCCATGTGAAATTGTCGAAAAATAACGATAGACCTATTTTCTCGATTGGATCATCATATGTTGTTTTCCAAAGGTCTAAGTACGCAGACATGGTAGGAAGGACTGAAGGAGTCAAACTCCACGAGATACTGAGATATAACTATAGTATGCAAAAACTAAATAAAGCCAATACATTATAAAAACATAAACAGAGAATTAAAGATCAATATAACTATCTAATATGCATTACCAACTAATGACATTTTATATAAATGTACGTACAGATATACATATAAAATGTCCGTAAAAATGTACGTATATATTTTCATATGAGAAAGATGGGGAAAGAAATGGTTCCTCCTTGCACAAAAATTATTGTATTTACTATTCTAAAATATGTAAACATATTTTCTCCATACCTATCAACATTTTCCAAAAATTTTACCTTGACAACAGATTATAGATTGGCTACCAAGGTTATTAATTCATAATTAACACGCTTTTTTTTTTCTTTGTAGCTTCTTTGCATAATCTCAGTTGACATATTTCAATAACAATTTCAAACATCATTTGAAGAAAACTTGATGTTTCAAAAAAATACCACAAGTTAATACCAAGAAACAACTATAGCACCCTCAGTTAAATGTAACAATATAATTGAAGATAAATAACATTTCTGAAAGTCCATCCATTATAATGAAAATTAATGCCATGATAGTGTGAAGTAAAAGTTCTCATGAGCCAACCTGTAGGGGAAGCTTATCATGAAGTTCAATTCGTATTGGTGTGCCACGACTGACAGTTTTTGGTTATGACCCATGCAACAAAATCTATGTACTTCTACAAGGAGATTTATAGACACCAATTTATGTTTCAAAATACAAGAGATGTAGTCAACAAAGTGTGCCCAATTTCTAAAGTTAACATGGTTCAAAATATTTCCAATACAGGCAAACTCGGCCAAGGCGTAACAGACTCAGCCAAAGTTGAGTCCATTACGTTTCAATATATCATTGTGATAAAACCGCAACAAACTTGGCCTATAGTCAGGGGTTGACTCGGCCAAGTTGCTAAATTTTCGGCCAAGTCTCATATTCTTTTTTTCCCCTCCTTTTGATTTTTCACCTAGATCTAACATGGAAATGTTGTTAGCGCTAGATCTATAGAAATTGTTTGAGATCTTGCACCAGATCTCACAATTTAAAACCTTGAAGTTAAGCCATGAGAAAAAGGTAACAGATATGTGAAGTCAGTTGTGATGATGGTTAGGCGACCTGTATTGCTACAAAACATTGCTTTCATAATAGTCAAAATTAGTCTTAATGGTTTCATCTGGGCATGAAAAAAATAACCAAACACTAAAAGCTGAGATGAAATTTAGTGCGCACAAAGAGATCCAATTGTCCCTTTTGACTAAATGGCAATTCGAAAGGTAAAATAGGTCTCAATTGGCAATATGGTACCATATCTGCCCTGTGATGTTGATCGGCTCTATAGCACAGATTTAGAAATTACCTCCATATATATATATATATAATAAAATCAATATATTGTTTAATGCTTTAGTCTCCCAATAAGATAGTGCTGTACAATAAAATAATCAATGGAATATTGACAGATAAGTTGAAAGATACTTGGACACAGTGCCATTGACATGAAATACCATACTCGTAGAAATCACCTACGCATTGTGGATTTAGGCATATTAACATGTCAGTATTCAATTTTTTAATAATTAAATATTTAAATTATGCATATTGATATTGTTTAAAAAGAGATATTTAGTTCAACAAGGCAATAGACATCAATTTTTGAAATTAGTATTTGACAGATTTGTTCAACTATTATCAAATGTTGCTTACCCGGGGGGAAAAACAAAATAACTAACAATTTTTTTTTCAAACAAATTTTGCAAAATATATTTTTATAATACTAGTTCAAATCTTCAATTGTAAGAAATTACCACATAATTTCGATTAGAATCTAATCTCTCAAGATAGTGATAATATCATCATTCATCAGCTTATGAACATCACCAAGAGCACTGATATTACTTCTTGACAAGATGGAGACATTAGCACATTTGAATATCAGTATTGAAATATCAGTCAGTGCCTATAGATATTGAATTTAAAATTTGAGATGATGAACAAAACATTAAGTTCCATGAGTTTTGACACATGACACCTACATGGAAACAGGCCATCATGTGGTATTTTAATGCTGTGAAAGATTCTCTCACCTCATCCACAAAAATAATTACTGGAGACAATTTACTGGCAAAGGAGAAGAGAGCCTTGGTAAGCTTTTCGGCATCTCCAAACCACTGCATAAGAAAAAAGAAGGAAGATGTATATTATTGTGGGAACAATATAAGGAATGTAAACAACATATGATGTTTTTATGCTGAACCAGAATCACAAATATCGGCTAATATCATTGAATAAGCCTTGGTTGCAGTTGATTCACTATTTCACCAAATGAGTGATCACATCATCTATCTTAGTACAGCCAGAAAATTAAGATGAGAGATAATATGGCATGAGATACAATCATACAGCTTCCTTAACCAAAATAAAATCCAGCAACCTAAAGCATCTAATATAGTAATATACATAAACAATAAACAGTCTTTAACAGTCTTTAACATTTCAATTACCTTAGATGTAAGTGTAGAACCAGTTATGCTAATAAAATTCGCCCCAGCTTCTGTTGCAAGTGCCTTGGCAAGAAGAGTTTTTCCAGTTCCAGGAGGCCCAAAAAGTAATATCCCTTTGCAAGGCTGACAAAAGCTTCCACACAGTTACACACTGAAAAAACATAGAGCAAAACCACACCTGAAAACATACACTAAGTTACAAAGAAACCAATGAAATACCCGCAGCAGATTCCCATGAGAGAAAAGCTCAGGTCTCCTCATTGGGAGAATGACAAGTTCGTTTAGTGCCCTTTTCACATCTTCAAGAGCGCCAATATCATCAAACTTGACACCAATTTCGCCCGGAGAAACAACTGCTGAAACAAAGTTGCTCTCATACTCGTCCTTAGCAATATTCTGCCAGAGTTCATTCATGTTAGCAACAAACACAAATGACATCCATTGAATCTCTATGGCATTTTAAGAAAACAATAAGTGAATACACCTTCAAATTTTGTGAGGGCTTCCTGGATATTGTTTCCTGCTCCTTCAGTCTTAAAATTGCAACTTCAAGGCTTCAAATAACAGAGAAAGCAGTCAATTGAGGATGATGAAAGAATCCCTACCGTCAGACACGAGTGTAGAGATTGTATACCTTTCACGAGGCATAGATAATCTTTCCCCTTTTATGGAAGGAAGGAGACATGACGATAAGTAATGATTTTTAGCCCAGCCAACTACTTTCTCAGCTTCTGCATAGAAAAGTCAGGTGATTACAGGCAATAGCAGGTATGAGAAACAACAAAGCAACACTACATAATTTGAGCATTTTAACGTCTCAACCAGGTATAGTTCTAAAAGTTCCATATGCATCAAACAACGAAAATACTTGAGAACTTTATCCCATTGAAAGAACAGAACAATAGAACATATTACAATCTTGCTTACAGTTGGGAGAGAATTAAACTTTTTGTTGACCGGTCTACCCCACATGGATATCAAACCCTAGACAAATGAGACAGGTTCCCTGAAAGGCCATTCTAAAAACCACTTACTTTTGCTGTTCTTGTATCATTTTTATCTTTGATGATTTGATTTCTTTTCAAGATGCAATTTTGCATTATTCTAGTTTTACGGAAATTTTGGTTTTAAGTTCATCAGGTATTGATCAATAAGGGGAGCCAACACCTCCCAGTAACCACGGTAGTAAAGAGTAGCTATCGGCTATCCTATAATTTTCTCCATTTTCACATCCTTGTATCACTGGAGCTTATTTACATATATAAATGTAAAATTCTGGTGGGGAGAAGAGGGAAGGGGAGGGAAGAACAAGCACACACATGAAACTTGGAATACTGTTTGCACTCTCCAACCCCTCAGTCTCACTATTCACAAGATCAAAATAACTACAAGGAGAAATGTTGACTTAAAAAACACATCTAACTACAAGAAGAAATGTTAACAACATTCTGTGGACTATGGTAAGATTGGAGGTAGGATCGTAAAATCTTGATCCTACAGATCCTACTAAATCGTGTTATTTTGTTCTTTTTTTGGATTTATTTGGGCCAACAGCCTCATTCTTGGCAAAGGAATTTAAGGTTTTTAAGTATAAAGTCCAACACTTTAGTCTAATTGCATTTAAAAAGAACAAAAAAAGAGCAAAAAACGGAAACCCAACTTCAAAAGTTTCCTCTATTTTGCTCCATTTTTTTTTTCTTTTCTTTTTTTTTTTTTTTTTTTTTTTTCCATCTTTTTCAAAACAGAAAACAAAAAGAGCTCACAGTTTCTCCGCCTATTATTTGCCCATTCTGAACAAAAAACAGAGAGAGACTTTGAATTTTCCTCTCTATTCATTCTCCCTCTGTTTCGTTCTTCTTAACCAAAAAATAGTTGTTCCAACAAAATTGTGCAGATGATTAGGCAACTATGTTGTTCTTGTGTCTCTATTTCATTGTTCCTTTTTTCTCTTTGTTTAGGCTTTGCCATAATTGCTCAGATAATTAGGCCACCAAATTGTTATTTTCTCTCTCTATTTTTCTATTCCTTTTTTCTTTGTTTAGGCTTTGCCTTAATTGTTTCCTTAACTATTATGTTTAACATTCTTGCATAGAAGAAATCAAGAAATTGATTTAAGTGTTTGTCTTTTAATGTTAATTGATTTTTGCCAAAATGTTGATGAGATTGTGTTTAGCCTTATTCTCTATTTATTTATTTATAAGTAAAAATAACATTAAAAAGGCGTTCAAAAGGGGAACGCGTCCCAATTACAAAAGTGGAACCGGGACTAAGGCCCCAAAGAATCCAAGAAAGTAATTAAATCATCAGAAGAAGAACAAAAGCTCCTCTTCACATAATTGAAAAGAGAACGAAGAATGTAAAGTTTGACCATTGCCGTGGGTGACTCTTTCCCGTCGAACATTCCGCTATTTCTCTCCTTCCAAATGCACCACCATACACAATGTGGTACAATTCTCCAGAAATCGCGAACATCTCTTCTCACTTGACAACCTCTCCAAACATTAATTAAATCCTTAGTAGATCGTGGCATAACCCAATACATGCCAAACAACCCAACAATAAGACTCCAACAGTCGTTCGCCACGGGGCAATGCAAAAGGAGGTGATCAACGGACTCCTCATCATCCTTGTATAGACAACATCGATTAACGATACAATTGCCCTTTTCCTCAAGTTATCAATTGTCAGAATCTTTCCCCACACAACGGTCCAAACAAAGAAAGCCATCGTAGTTGGAGCCAAAGACCGCCAAATAGTTTTCTACGGGAAGTCTCGATTAACAAAATTAGACAAACATAAGAACAAGGATCTAACTTCGAAGCGACCGTGGGAAGGAGGAGCCCAAATTAAAACATCATTACCTCTACCGACGCCCTCCTGCCGATACATCCTGAAAAGAGCACCGAAAATGCACATCCCACGCAATCCCGTTGCTATCAAGCCGATAACAGTCAACTACGTAGGTGTGTTTATCAACAGCAATACTGAATAATCTAGGAAATGTACAAGAAAGTGGCTGATCCCCACACCAGAGATCTTCCCAAAACCGAATGCAACGACCATCACGGAGTTTGAATCTGATATGAGCCGAAAAAACATACCATCCCTTCCAAATAGCCTTCCACATCCCTACTCCTCCCACCAGGGTAACCGGAAGTGTAGACCAACCTCCAGCCTCTTCTCCAAACCGACAAAAGACTAACCTGCACCATGGACGATGTCTTTCCCTCCCAAATCTCCATAACCATTTACCCAGGAGAGCTTGATTGAAAGGAACTAGACGTCTTATTCCAAGTCCACCCAATTTCACAGGCTTACAAACTTCCTCCCATCTGACAAGGTGGTACTTGAACTCGTCGCCCTTTCCTCCCCAAAGGAAATCTCTTTGAATTTTTTCAATCCTATTTGCAACGGAACAAGTATTGTTTCTTCCATCTTGACAAGTATTGTTTCAATCCCCCTTTTGACAAGTATTGTTTCTTCCATCTTGCCAATCTCTTCACATACCTGTCAATCACAGAATCCCAACTCCCCACTAACCTTGAAGAGACCCCTAGGGGCAAGCCCAAATAAGGAATAGGGAATGAGCTCACCCCGCAACCAAGGACTGCAGCTAAAGAGGAAATATCCTGAACATTCCCTACTGGGACAAGCACACACTTAGCCACATTGACCTTTAGCCCGGAAACTATCTGAAAACAAGTCAATACACACCTCAAGTATCGAAGTTGAGACACATCAATGTCACAGAAAACAAGGGTATCATCTGCAAAGAATAAATGAGAAATCTCCATCTGATAGACTAAATCTCTGCCCACCCTGAAACCCTTTATAAAACCAAGATCCTCTGCCCTGCGCATAAGTCTACTTAACCCCTCCATAACAACAATAAAAAGGAAAGATGACAAACGATCTCCTTATCTTATACCCCGAGAGCAACTGAAGAAACCAACGGGAGAACCATTCACAAGAACTGAAAACTTGACAGAATAAAGACATGTCTCTATCCACTTCCTCCATTTACTTCCAAACCCCATTCTTTGTAACAAATAGAGTAGGAAATTCCAATTCACATGATCATATGCTTTCTCAATATCAAGTTTGCATAAAACTCCAGGAATACCACTCCACAATCTAGAATCCACGCATTCGCCAGTAATAAGAACTGAATCAAGTATTTGTCGTTCGCCAACAAAAGCATTCTAGAAATCCGAAATAATCCCATCCATTACTTCCCTCATCCTTAAAGCAAGCACCTTAGCAATAAGTTTGTAAATACAGCCCACCAAACTAATAGAACGAAAATCCTTTATATCTGAAGCGCCTCCCTTTTTTGGGATAAGGGCAATGAATGAAGCATTAAGCGACTTCTCAAAGATGCCAAAAGAATGAAACTCTTGAAAAGTACCCATTACCTCATTTCTTACAACCGCCCAACTTTCCATCAAAAATCGCATGGTAAAGCCATCAGGTCCCGGAGGTTTGTCCCCCCCATTACAACTTGATAAAGCTTTAAGAACTTCTTCTTCAGTGAAAGGATTCTCAATCCTATCTCTATCAAGCTCGAAAATAGCCTCAAAATGAAGACCATCAAGTTTGGGCCTCCAAACTAAAGGCTCGGTATAAAGCTTCTGATAAAAGGAAGCAATACCGTTACGCACCTCTTCCTCTCTCCACAACTCCTCACCATCCACCCGAATTCTTCCTATATGATTACTCCTCCTATGAGCATTAGCTAACCGGTGGAAGAATTTTGTGTTCCGATCGCCTTCTTTTAGCCAAAGAGCCCGAGATTTTTGTCGCCACGAGATCTTCTCCATACTAGCAATCTCAGCAAAAACTGCCTGACAAGAGGCTCTCCTAGAACGTAGAAATTCCACATCCCCTACTGCCTCCTCAAGACGATCAATCTCAGAAAAATCAGCAAGTACTATATTCTTCCTCCATTCTAAATTCCCGAAGACATCCTTGTTCCACTGCTTAAGAGCTAGTTTGAGAGCCCTTAACTTCTTTGTAATTGTGAAACTGCGCGATCCTGAGACAATAACTCCCTCCCACCAAGATCTAACTCTCCCTTGGAAATCTTCCGCTTGCAGCCACATATTCTCAAATCTAAACGGGGATCTTTGAGAGCATAAACCCCCACAATCCAAGACCAAAGGAACATGATCAAAGGTGACCCTTTCTAACACCGCTTGAACAACATCCGGGAATTTCTCTTCCCTATCCCCAGAAATTAAAAATCTATCCAGTCTTGAAAGAGTGATAGGATCCCTACCATTTGACTAAGTATAAGCTACACCTTCCATTGGTAAATCAACAAGAAGATGCTCATCAATAAAATCAAAAAATTGATCCATTTCCAAAGATCTTCTTCCCCTTATAGACCTCTCTGACGGGGACCTAACAGAATTAAAATCCCCTCCTAGGCACCAAGGAAAAGACCACAATCCTTGGACATGGCAAAGCTCCTCCCAAAAAATAGGTCGCTCATCATCAACAACCGGTCCATAGACTCCGGTAAAAACCCATTTGAATTTGTCCTCTTCCAACTTAAGTACACAAGAAACAAAAAATCTCCCCATCCAGACGTCCATTCGAGTTAACCACCTACTATCTCACATGACTAATATCCCACCCGAAGAACCTATAGCATTCAAGGCCTCCCATTCCACAAACCGTCCTCCCCACAAACTCTTAACCACCCTGTCAGTAATGGATGCCAGCTTGGTTTCTTGTAAGCAAATAAGCTGGGCACCCCACTTCCTTAAAGCTACCTTCACCACCCTTCTCTTGTTCAGATCGTTAAGACCACGAACATTCCTAGTAATGATTCGTAGCTTCATTGTAAACCAGATAAAATAATCTCCCCTCCACCCTTCCTGAGACTCCTGCTCCTGGTTCTTTCCCTTTCCTTCGCCACTCCTCCTTTCCCTTCGTAGTTGACTTCAGAAATGAGATTCTTTATCTCCTGTACTCCTTTCCAAGATGATAAAGGCTTCGTGTTCATTACTTCACTGGTCACTGCAACCTCTCTCCCTTCCACAATTTCTTGAAGGATAGATAATGTCTGATCGTCATTACCTTCTGAAGAGACTCCCAAAAGCTCACTAGTACTCCAATATTGTCAACTACCCAATCTTTCCCCATGTTAGCAACCTGTTCGTCAGGTCGCACCGTAGCCAATGGTACCTCCTGTAGGATTTCAGGACCAATCTCCACCCAGGGTGTAAGCTCATTGGAGCAAACCTATTGGATAGAACCCAAATCATCAAACGCCTCCTCTTCCAACTCTCTGTCATTCTCATAAAAAGAATCAGGTTCAGTAACAAAATCAGTCTCGTCAGTCCCTATGTAAGGCAAGCAGTTAAGACCTTTCAGAGCGACACTTAAACAAAGCTCTTTGAGCAAGGCTACGGCCTCTTCATTGGACAGCTGGAAATGCAGGTCTCTGCCCACACAAACTGGAACCCCTTCAGATAATTTCTTGACTGCACAATCTGCAATTTTCATCTGCCTAGAAACGCCAGACTCACTATCCTTCAGCCCTTCCGTATTCAACCCATGCGAAGAATCAATTCCATTGTTCGTGACAGTCAACTCGCATCTCTTCTCTAGTTCCTACACAACACCGGCTCTCCTCAACACACAAGAAGGGGTAGAAGAAGAGGATGGAACATTAAGATTCTGAGGATGTGAAACTGATGGTGTAGCTGGAACATTAGTAGAAGTCCACTTCTGCTTCTCTTTTCGAGACCATCTAACTCCGTGAGGATTTCTGTTAAAGTCCCGAGACAAAGACCTGACAATTCTTCCTTTCATATCAGAGAGAGATGAAGATGAGATGCCTGCGCAACATTAAGAATGACGGAAAACCCATCTCAATATTACTCCACCAGTCGCTGCAGTAGATAAGTTCATCCACCTTCTCTTCTCCGGACAATTCCAGAAGATTGCAGAGGTATCATCAGAACGACGCCTCTGTAAATCACTAACTCCTTTAGAAATAGGTGGGCTGGGCTTGGAATTAATAAAAGAAACTAACATTTTATTTTTGGTCCCCTTCAAAACCTCTCTTCAGATTACTCACATTTGGTCCATGACTTGAATTGGCAGTGGACGGTGGGCTAGGCTTGTTCTTAAAAGAAAGAGGCCCCCGATGAACAGCCCTCTGCAATTCCTGTGGACCGGGATGAACAACATTTGACGAAATAGGCCCGTAACCCGCTTCAGATCCGCACTTAGGCCCATCAGAATCCGCAGCATTAAAGACTCCCTCAAAGCCTCGATCTCTGACACGTTGGTTGGTATCCGTTAGCGCGGATATTACGAGGGAACGTAAGGCGGTGATTAAGGGGTTGATTGATGGCCCCTCTACGTGCTTCTTGCGCGTGAATAGGTAGTCGCCTCTTTCCTTCGACACCGTGGTAGATCTGTGCATTTCAGCGACTACCTCCAGCTGTAGCAGCCAGGATATGTTACTCTCCAACACCATAGTAAGATTTCGGAAGGATACGAGGTATTATTTCTTCTATCAAGTTGACCCTGTAAGCCACTCGTTGGTCTTCGACAAAAACGTACTTCGGCATCACTTTTCCGACGGAAACATAGAGGAGAATTCACTGTCCACACGCCGAGACGTCCGCCTCAACACCTCTAAATCCACCACATAAGTTCCCAATTGCTTCAAATAACTTGTTGCACCAGAGATGGAGGGGCAAACCAAACAGGATCACCCTTCGTATTACTCGTTCTTTTACTGCAAAACAACCAGCGGCGAAGTACCAAATGTCGATGGATAATAAGGCGTCACCCCATCTTTTTCTCCCTTCATCCAACACCCTTAAGGCCTCAGTCTCCGATGGGAACCTAAACAGGAGCAGATCATCAGGTAAAGGAGACACGTTCACCCCACATGAAGCCTTTTAAGTTTTCGACACCCACGCCTCAATCCCTTCAAGACACCCCCCGTCTCTGTCAAAACGACCTACGAGGCATGATCGTAGTACAGATTCACGCTCCTGGATGCTTTGATGATCAACCCTATAAACCAGATCATTGCCTATAGAGCAGCTTTTGATTTTCCCGTGAAGATTGAGACATGGAAGGGTCGCAACACTGAGATAGGATCGATGCATTTCCTTGCCAAAAATATGAGAAACCAGAAACAGTCGTGGACGCTGGAGTGGAAGACTCCGACGTCAAAAAGAGAGGAGAGAGAAGAGAGAAAAGTCAAACATAGTCAAACCCGTATTTTCCAAGTAATATGCGCCAATAATTAAAAAAAACGAAAAAGTATTATTTTCATATCTAACACTTCCCTATTTATTTGAAAAGAGTTTTATTTAGAAAGTTAGTTTCAGTTCATTTTTTATATTAGTTTTATAGCATCTTACAATCCTCCTTCCGATCCTATGGACCATCCATCAGTCCTACATAGAACCCCCATCCTAACAACCTTGCTAAAGATACATGCTGGTGTGTTTTCAGGCTGTGTCTAGACTGCACAACAATTTTGGAAAGAAAGAGATTGTTCTGGCCTGGGGGGTAGGTCTTTCACAATGAGTTATCTGGGCACATTGTTGGGGGTATGTCAAGGAGAGTGTTGAGCAATTAGAGAGGAAGCTGGCAAGTTGGAAGAAGCAATACCTATCAAAAAGGGCACATAACCCTTATGGAGTACCCTTTCGAGCCTTCCTACTGCTTTGTATCCTTATTTCAGATTCATAGCTGTGGTGAAGAGGACAGAGCAGCTTCAAAGAAACTTTTTGTGGGGTGGCATGGGAGATGAGTTTAAATAACATCTAGTGAGTTGGGGTTTAACAGGCTCAACATTTTCAACAAAGCCTTGCTAGGCAAATGGCTTTGGCGGTTTCAGGTGGAGAGGGACAGGTCATGGAAGAGAATCATACAGGGTGGATTTAGAAGGGAGTGGGTGGTTGGAGCTCTTTGGAGGTAAGTGGTCCAGCGGGTGTGGGGGTTTGGACATTCATTTGAAAAGGGTGGAATGAATTTTCAAAACATATTTTTTTTAGGGTGAAGAACAGGAGGCACATTCGTTTTGGACTGACCCTTGGTGCGGGGATAGGGTGCTAGCCACAGCCTTTCTGAGGCTTTACAGAATTGCGTCAGAGAAGCAGATCTTGGTTGTTGACTGTTATCGGCTTGATAGAGGGAGGGTGACATGGGATGTGCAATTCAAGAGGTATATAGAGAATTAGGAGTTAGAGGGCATCATTGGCCCTTTGATGTTGCTTTACAATCAGAAGGTGGTCGAGAAGGGTGCAGATGAGTGCTATTGGATGGATTCCAGATTTGGTAGGTTTGAGGTCATTATTCCTATAGGTGGTTTATGGTACATATATGAATATCACAAAATAGAGCTACATCAGGAATTTATTTCCTAATCAGTAAAAGTTTCGATCTTCCTAACCCAGAACCATGAAGCCCAACATATTCATCTAGCCAAGAATACGAGCCACACCAGAAATCTCCAGAACTGGATACAATTATTGTTTAATAAAGCACCTTCAGTTATTTAGCACTCAACTATAAGATGCATACCAGAATCTAACAACTACTTGTTGATCAAATAAGAAAAAAATAAGAATATGGTCATCGTAAATTCTTACTCGACTTTGTCAGTATCACATCATCAGTATTTACATGCAACAGGTCTGCGCAGGATAGCTCGTGTTCCTCGAGAACCTGAAGCACACAACTATTTCAGAAACACAGATCCAAGGGATCTAGTTGCACATGAAATCCCATGCACCAAAATTAGTACACTATATAACATGTTCATCAAATGTAACAAAGTAGAATTGCCCCGCACAGCACCCTTCACTACAAAATTCTCTTCATAGACTCATCACTTAAGTTTTTATTTCCATACCTTGTGTAGCTCACTTAAATTGCTCCTTGATATTACAATTTTCCTGTCATCTTCAACCTGCTTATTGAATGTCCTAAGGAAATCATCCTCCTGCACACACACAAGAAGATCAGTACAAAAATGAATGCAAAAACAATTAAAAAGTATAAACCATTATAGAACAATCAGTTATACTGAATAATGATATTAAAAAGCAATGCATGATGCAAGGAGGCTTGGAATGAGGCATGATACGTCAGCATGGTTTTAGGAATCAATTTGGTCAGAGTATTAGTGGGCCACATTAAAACTCAGCATCGCATCTATTGACCGATATGTTATAGCAGACATAACGCAAAGACACATCTAAAAGACAAAATAATAAAAGATAAAACTGGAATGATGCAAAATTGCAAACATTTCTTGTAGGTGGAATGATACAAACTGTATTTAGAAAAATTTGTGAACTAATTATTTCCTATACGATATATGTGCAACCTTTGCTTATATCATCAACTCTGCCCTCATCAATAACAGAAACACTTCATCTCCAATCCTCTACATGAAACATAAAACAAAACCTCTTCACAATGTAATTTTTTATGCAGAATGTTGAATACTTTTGAGGTATGTTCATCATCACAATTGGACCTCACAGAATGTTTTGAAAGCTTTATTCAACAATATCACCAATATCTTGTCTGAATCTCAGCAGATTTTTGCCAAAAGTGCATCAAACCATAGAGGTTTAAGATAATATATCTGCAATGATTCCATCTCTCTAGGTCCTTTTCAAAAGGGATCCCTCAGAAGATACACAAGGCCTAATAGGCCCTCTAAACTCTCAGAGAGTTCAAAAAATCAACTATTTCCTCCATGGAATTACAATTTCTCCCTAGAACCCAACAAATAAGAGTGCTAATAATGGAGAACTTCAACATGCCAATAGGATTCTCCTTTCCTACGAAGGATCTCCTATTTCTTTCAAGCCACAAACACCACCAGACGCACAGAGGCACAACCTGCCAGAAATCACGAACTGGGGCCCCCACCATACAACCTCTCCAAGCCTCAACCAAGATTCTGGAGGACCTGGGCACGCACTGAACCCCAAACAACACAACAACAAAAACCAACAATCCTGAGCCACTGGGCAATGCAAAAGAAGATGGTCAACCGTTTCCTCATTTCTCTTACACATGTACCAACAGTTAACCACCACTTATCTTGGGTCAAGATCTTTCCAACATGAATGACCACGCAAAGAAAGCCACTTTGAGAGGGGCCTTAGAGCGCCAAATAACCTTCCACGGGAAAGGATGCCCTGGGAAAGGATTCCATCTCTAGGTCTGATTTGTCAAAGCTCACCTAAATACACCATGGGGCTATTTCAATATTACAAGGGATTTTTTTGCACTCTACCCTTTTTTGATAGGAAACTACTTAGAACAAGAAGAAGGGGAAACAGAACAAAAATAATAATAAAAGGAAAATTTGAAGAACTAGTCCTCCTTCACAGCTTACACTAATTAGACATCAGCAGAAGGAAAAGAGAAGCAAAAAATAGGAGGGCTAAGTTGCCAAGATCCTCAGCCCTTAATCTCTTTGAGCATGAAATCAGGATTACAACAAGAATGAGCACATAAGCAGCAATAATGACCTCATAATATAATAAAATTAGAAAACAGCAACTGCAATGCACAATTAATGCCAAGTTAGGTTCGGATTAATAAACTGTGAAATGAAGCATTCAATAAATATTAACTGAGATGTGAGACATCAAATCGGTCTTTATATTCCTTCAATTCTCTCCATTCTCAGAATCTCTGAAAAAGAACAGGCCCAATTATTATGCAGAGAGTCCAAGCAGAATTATACCATTTACAAAGGAAATGAATCTGAGAACATGCCAATATTTTAATGCAGGAAAACACATTTCAAGTTTAAAGTATGACATGAGAAAACATGTTTCCACCTCAGATTCTGGAAGGCCACCACATATGATTTGAACAGAGACAGGTCTTAAAAGCAACAATGGGACAGTATAAAAATAAAAGGAGTTGATAATAAATATTCTACTGAAAAAATTTAAGCCTCTTGCATTATTCTGCTGATTAAATCCCAACCATAATACGGAAAGTAAAGGAAAGAATTTGCAACAAGACACATGTTGAAATACTAATCATGTGTATCTCAAAGTATCATGTCACTGTTTGAGATATACTGAATAAATAAATCGGACAGATAATTACCTTTGGGGGATGTATGCAAATAACGTTATTGAAGAGCTTATCGATCTCATTATCCTCCGATCTCTTTGTTGCTCTCAGCCCATCTGTAAGTCGCCTCAAAGGAAGAGGCTGAGAAGGAAAAGCAACCAGGTGATATAAATTGACAATACTTCGTAGGATTCAAAACCACTTAGCATCAAATAATAAGTATTGAATTAATATGCATTTTATCATACAGAATTTAGAAAGAGAGATAACAACGTGAATTGGGACTTCTTGATGTATATGTTGGAGAGGATGGGGTTCGGGCATAGTTGGAGGAGGTGGATATATCACTGTATTCAACAGTGTGATTATCCCGGTGAATGGTTCTCCAGCCGAGTTCTTTCCCAATTCTGATCATCATGGAGGCCTTCAATAAATTAATGAGGAGGGCAGAAGGGCTGGGCTAATTACAAGATTTATGGTGGGTAGAGAGCATCCCAATCAGTTGGATGTATCTCATTTGCTATTTGCGGATGACATCATTGTCTTTTGAGATGCGGCAGAGGACCGATACTTAAGGTGAGTTCATCTTGAAGATCAATATTGGGAAGTCACATGGTGCCAGTTTGGGTGGTAGAGGAGATTTATGGTTTTGCCAATATCCTTGGGGGTGAGGTGGGATCCTTCCCGATCTCTTATGTGGTCTTGTCTTTGGGGCCTCATAGAGGAGGGTGTCCATATGGGATCCAGTTGTAGAGCGTTTTGAGAGAAGACTTGCTGGTAGAAAGAAATAATATCTTCCGAAAGGGGGCCACATAACTCTACCCTTTCGATTCTTCCAACTTCCTTTATGTCCATATTTCAGACGCCAATGGCAGTTATCAGGAGGCTGGAGAAGCTCCCGAGGGACTTCCTGTGGGGTGGTATGGGAGATGAGTTCAAATAGCATTTGGTGAATTGGGGGAGGCTGTGTACTCCTATTTGACAGGGTGGTTGGGGATTAGGAGGTTGGACTTGTTCAACAAGACTTTATTGGGTAAATGGCTATGGAGATTTGGGGGAGAGAGGTCCAAATTGTGGAGGAGAGTCATAGTTTGCCAGACTAGGGAGGGTGTTGGGGGTTGGCTATCTAGGGAGGTGAGGTCTCCCATGTGGGGGGATGGAAACATATCCAGAAGGGTTGGCATGAGTTCTCCAAACACATCCGATTCAGGGTTAGGAGTGGGAGATTTGTCAGATTTTGGGAGGACCACTAGTGTGAGGATACTGCTATGGCTAGTCCACGGCTTTTCAGGATTGCTACAGACAGAAATGCCTTGGTTGCCAATTGTTATTAACTTGATAGCGGGAGGACGACTTGGGATGTGCAGTTTCAGAGAGAGTTCCATGATTAGGAGCTTGCGGAGGTAGCAAGCTTTTTATCTTTGTTGCATAGTCAGGTGGTGGACGAGAGGGGATGGAAGAGATGGTCTAAAAGCATTCCTCACGGGGAATTTTTGGAGTACGACAATTCTATCGGGAGATTCCGGCTCTGAATTTTCCTTGGAAGGGCATTTGGAGATCAAAATCCCCCTTAAAGGTGGCCTTTTTTCGCATAGTCAGCAATGCCTGGGAGGATCTTGACCCTAGACAATTTCAAAAGGAGGTAAAAGATTGGGGTGAACTAACCTTGTATGTGTAAGAAGGCGGAGAGTCGATGAATTACCTCCCTCTGCATTATCCAGTGGTGATGGATGTTTGGTCTATGATTTTTGTTGTGTTCGACATGTATTGGGTGTCTACTGGATCTATGTAGACATGATTGAGGCTTGGATAGGCTGTACAGTGGAGAGCTGACCTAGAGATGCTTGGAGGGCAAGAGATAAATAGGAAATCTTTTGATGGAGATGAGACTCCTATTTGGTCTCTCAAATCTATCATTCAGAGTTCTTTATTCTTTTGGGTAAATCAGTGAAATTATAAATCTGTGAAGGATTTGTTGATAGTTTGAAACTATAGTAAGCCACTGTCGGCTCTTTGTGTATTCTCTTGGGAGCGCTTCCCTTTTGAGCGCCTTTATTGAAATTTTACTTATCAAACAAAAGATGTTAATAACAAGTGAGGAAGTCTAAAAGAAAGAAAGAGATAAAACTAAAGTAACATGAAATCAACTTTGGCCTTTAGAGATACAATTAAAGTAACATCAAATCCAATTGGGCCTTTTTCATGTGGGGCCTTAGGCAATTGGCTAAAGAATGAGCTGGCCCTAGTAACATAGGAAATATTAGATAAAACAAATATTTACACAAGATCAAGTTGTCAGGTAAAAATCATTGAGGGACACAAAACATGAAGAGATTTAAGACCATACTCCTATTAACATTTTGAAAGTGCTTAGGGAATGATATCATGTCTTAGTTAACAAAATTATTTACTAACATCATAATAACAAATAGTTGCGTAACAAAAAGGTATTTTTAATACATATAAATAGAAAAAAAGGAGCTTTGAAAATATGTAAATTATTGCGGAATTGAATTACTGAGTCATGCTATGATTTATGAAGAGAGTTGATGAGAAGAGATTAAAACTTGAAACAACATGATCAATTTGGATTTGTGTCAGGTCAACAACTGAATTTATTTATTTACCAAGGAAACTAAGCAAATGATGTTGTGAGAAGAAGAAAAATGTTATAAATGATTTTTATTAACCTGGAAAAAGCCTACGATAAGATCCCTAAAGATATCATTTAGGTAAAGAAAAGGAGTCACGAGCAGAAACGTTTACATGGTGTAGGAAATTTAAGACACAGTTGTAACTATAATAAGAACAACTACAGGAGAAACAAGTAACTTTCCAATTACCATGGCCTACATCAGGTATCAGCATAAGCACTTACCTTTTGCATTGATTATGGATAAAAAGACAAAACACATTAAGTACAGGTTCCACGGTGTATGCTCTTTCCGGATGACATCATTTTGTCTAATGAAATTAAAGAATTGGTAGCAAATTTAAAGATTTGGAAGCAAACTAGAAGTACAAACGAAAATGTGAAGATCAAGAGTATAGAAATATCAAAAAATGGACAATCTTTACCTAGGCTTTATTATTCACAAAGATAGAAAGATTAGAGATAGTGTTGCTCACAGATTTATAGAAGGATGGCTTAAATGGAAGAGTGCTACTATTATATTGTGTACTCAACATATACCTTTAAAATTAAAAGCGAAAGCTTAGAAAATATTATCAGAGCAGTCACACTTATATAGATAGAATTTAAGACGCTAAGAAATAACACATGTCCAAACTATGTAGCTAGAAAACATATTCATAAATCAGATAAAGTTCCCCTAAAACGGGGAAGAAAATGTAGATCCCATTCCAAAAGCTTGAGGTTCATAATATGAATAACATTCAGAAAAGATGAGACATTTTAGTAAGCCAATTAAACCATTAGTATATAACAATAAGAAAATTCAAGAAAGTTCGATAAGTTTTGATATATATACATAATGCACTTAAAGATAAAGGAACATTACCAACTTTGCCAAGCGACCCAAATTCGGAAGAATCATTGTCTGTTAACATAAAAGAAAAGAAAGTTACAAATAACATATAAAAATGAAAATAGAAAATTTCAGCACTCTCACCCACCCACACAAAAAGATTTGATGTTAAATTTGAAGCTTACAAAATTCTCTCTCTCTTTTGACCCTCCTTCAGCTTTGTTCTGTCCACAAATTAATACCACACGTTCTGATAACTGGTCAAACATTTCCTGCACCTTATGGACAAACTCTTTACGATTTGACTTGGAAACAGCCCTTGATAACCATAGAGAAGAGTCCGGAAAATAGACAATAAGAGGTTGCTTAGAACGCAAAACCTGCAGAAAGTGTCAGAAAGCAAAGTAAAATTAAATTAGAGATACTAATTGTACACAAAATTTTACCTCATACAACATCTACAATGATTTTTGAGCATCATACCTCACTCAAAGCCTCCATTGCGATATAACAGTCTTCTGCCTGAGTATCAAGATCATGCTCAACGTACTTAACTGTAAGTAAACAAAGCTTGTCAGTTTGTCTATTAGCAATTCAAATGTGCAACTTGGGACTAAAAGTCCTTAAGTATGGTATTTCCCCTAAAAACAAAAGCTGAGTGACAGTGTCCATAAGTGTTAGCATATGATCATTTCATGTTATGCAATTCTAATAAAGCAATAAAGGTAAAAGAAAGTGATACCAGAAGTTAATTGGAATATGCGAAAAGCTGAAAAATAGCAGCGGGATTATTATTCAAATATGGTTGTAGCTAAGGGCTAACATAGATATTGCAGGGCCATGTATGCCGATTACAGTCCTTCCTCAATATGGCTCCACCAAGATACATGTTTCCATTCCAACACCCACGAAATTTATTGTGGCCCTACAAGGAAAATTTCAGGCTCCAACCCAGCGTGATCTAGTTCCAGAGGGAAAATATCATATAAGATAAGTCGTTCAAGTTTATCATGCTTCGACCATTTGATGGACATATTCCCACTCCCTTTGAGCCATGAAACTCAAAAATGTCTCTTTCAGTCTCAAAATGCTGAGGTTGTGCTTGAATGAGGGATCCAAGGCCTCAAAGCATTGAAGAATACCCAAGTTTCAAAATCCACCTTTAAGAGTTGAAAAAGTTCAAAATTCCTAATTCTTTCAAGCCCTGTCAATCAGGGATCTGAATTGTATTCTGAGACATGAATCCACAAACGTAACAAAAGACCCCACAGCTGATAAAAGCCTCTCCCCCTTGAAATTCTGAGACATGAATCCACAAACGTACAAATGCCCCAACAGCTGATTCAAGCCTCTCTCTCACTCACTCACTCTCTCTCTCTCTCACACACACAGGGGGTTCAAGTCTCAATAGAGACAAGTGGCACTCACTCTCTCTCTCACACACACACGGGGTTCAAGTCTCAATAGAGACAAGTGGCAAACACACCAAGTGCTTTTTCAGATATATATATTTTAACCATTTAAATGTGAATAGATGAATATGTTAATTGAACCACATCATTTAAGACCAAAAGCCATCTTGTGATGGTGCACAAGAAGTCTTTACTTAAGGGATTTATAAACATGATTGAAATTCCTCAAAAGAGATGTGTTGTGCATTCCCAATAGATCATATGCAACTACTACAGACCCTCTCTCCCTCCCTCATTCCCTCTCTTTCCCCTTATCAAACGATTTGAGGGATTTGTAGTTCTCCTATACACGGACGAGAGCCCTCAGGGGAGGGTTAATTTCTAATCATTTTTGCTCTCTCTCTCTCTCACACGCACACGCGCACACAATCACAGATGTCTCGGAAGGAACCCATCCATACCTTTTTTATTTTATTTTTCAAATATCAAATCTCTCATTTACACGCAAATTCTATGAAACTTCCTCCCTTTTTATCTCTCCAACCACCACGGATGGATGTAATCATATGACTTCTCCCATTTACGCGCGAATATTATGAAACTTCTCCCTTTTAACTCTAAGTCTCTAACCACCCCGGATGGATATATATGACTTCTTTTTCAAATATTTTCTATCAATTATCACAATTTTTATTAATGAGAACAATTATAATTAGATTTTATGGTTCCATGTTGTTAGAAGATGTTATATTTGGAAAATAGTATTATAGGAACCCTTAAATTACTCCTTGACAGAATATTTGATATGAAAATATCATAGGAGAGATTTTAGAATATGATAGAATATTGATTGGAGTGATTTATGGTATTGATTTTGGGAATCTTCCATTCATGTATTTTCCATATTTATCACTTCTATTATTTCACCTAAAAATAGAGGTGATCATTGTATACAAAGATTAAGAGAGAATATATTATGAAGTGATGTAGCCCTTTGGGATCTTTGTGCCGTGGATGTAGGCCTTGTGTTCTTCGTGTTTCATTTCTCTCTTCACTTCCGTTTTATGCTTTACAACACATGTGATGGCTTAATTGAGCTTTGTTGTACAGTATTGTATAAGTTGTCAAACATCTACAATTAGTATTGTATGAGTTGTCACCTACCCCTCGTTACCATATATAGAATTACCATGTATAGGATTTTCTTGTTCTCCACTCACCAACTTCCGTAACTTCTCTTACATAAACGCCATTGTATTATTGTATTACTTACTCAATAACATATAATTTTTCATATATTCTCTCTCTCTCTCTCTCTCTCTCTCTCTCTCTCTCTCTCATGTGGAAATCGATCCCTCCTTAATTTTTTTTTTTTAGTCTTATTCAGACTCGGATCTACAGATCAACTCGTCTCGCATCTTCGGATCAACTCGTCTCGAATCTTTGCAACTCGTTTCGGACTCTCAACAACTTCGTACTTAGTTTCAAGTTGGACATGTTTTCTCACCATCGGTTGTTACTATAGCGAATGGTGCCATATCACCTGTTCATGGAATTGGTACCTTCCACACTTCTAGTCTCACTTTTTCATCAGTTTTATATATCCCTCAATTTTCATTCTATTTATTGTCAGTTCGCAAAACCATATCAGATTTAAATTGCTCAGTTACTTTTTATCCTTCCCGTTGTGTCTTTCAGGATCTCAAGACAAAGAAGACGATTGGTGGGGGGTTTGAGAAGGATGGTTTTCACTACTTCCAGCCAACTACTGTTCCACCAACTCTACATTCCACCTCTTCTTCAGCTTACCAATGGCATTGCCACCTTGGACATCCCTCTTCAAATAGTCTTCGAGCCTTGGTCCCTTCTTTAGTTGATTTTTTTAAGTTTAATTGTACTACTTGCGAACTTAGTAAACATCGCCGGGCTACTTTTAAGTCTCGTTTTGATAAAAGTTGAAAACCTTTTGAGTTAGTACATTCGGATATTTGGGGACCAGCTCGTACTACTAGTTTATTTGGTGCTCATTATTTTGTGTCATTTATTGATGATTATTTACGTTTAACTTGGGTTTATATTCTTAAAGATAGATCTCAAGTATTCTCTGTTTTTCAATCCTTTTATGCTGAAATTCAAAATCCGTTTGATGCAAAATTACTTGTTCTTAGAATTGATAATGCCCTTGAATATAAACTTAATATTTTTCAAAAGTTTCTTGAGTCAAGGGGCATTATCCATCAAATATCTTATGTTGATACCCCTCAACAAAATGGAGTTGCTGAACGGAAGAATGGCCCACTCCTAGCTGTCACTCGTGCCTTGACAATTCAAATGCATGTTCCAAAACATTTTTGGGCAGATGCAGTTCTGGTTGATGCTTATCTTTTAAACCGCATGCCTTCTAGGGTCCTTCAAGGAAAATCACCCTTCCAAATGATGTTTTCTGACAAAAATCATTTTTCCATTCCTCCAAAGGTGTTTGGGTGTATCTATTTTGTTCATACTCTAAGCCGGGACGAGACAAACTTGATCCTCGTGCTCACAAATGTATTTTCTTAGGTTACTCTCGCACTCAAAAGGGATATAAATGTTACAGTCCAACTCTTCGTAAACATTTTGTGTGTGCAAATGTAACTTTCTTTGAGGATGTTCCTTATTATTCTCAAGAAGGCAGTCGCCTGGAAGACTCTGTTCTTTAAAAGTATGTTCTTCGAACTCCAATTTTTGATTCTGACATCCCACCGGCTCTTCATGTCTATGCTCGTCACCGGAAAAGAGTAGTTAATCATGTTCCAACGACTGAGGTAGTAAACCCAGCCTTGCCATTTCCACCCGTCGCTTCAACGCCTGCAGATTCTTCCATCTCTCAGGACTCTAATCCTTATCAACCTATTGCTGTTTGGAAAGGTAAACGGTATTGTACCAATCACCCTATCTCTAATTTTGTATCGTATAATAACTTGTCTTCCTCCTTTCAAGCTTTTTCTCTGTCATTATCCTCTATTGCTCTTCCTAAGTCCTACAGGGAGGCACTTTCTCATCCAGGGTGGAGGAAAGCTATAGAAGAAGAAATAAACGCTTTAAAATTGAATCATGCTTGGGACCTTGTTCCTAAGCCTGCTGATACTCAAGTTGTTGGTTGTCGTTGGGTTTTTACTGTTAAACAGAAGTTTGATGATACTGTTGACCGTCTCAAAGCTCTACACTCAAACTTATAGCCTTGATTGTACTGAGACATTCTCTCCTGTGGCTAAACTGAATTATGTTCGCGTGATACTCTCTCTTGCAGCTAATCTAGACTGGCCACTTCATCAACTTGATGTTAAAAATGCCTTTCTATACAGTGACCTTAATGAGACAGCCTATATGACTCAACCACCTGGGTTTGAGTATAAGGGGCAGTGTGTGCGTGTCATCTCAAGAAGTCTATCTATGGCCTCAAACAGTCCCCTCGTGCATGGTTTGATAAGTTTAGTAAAGCAGTGGTAGCTCATGGTATGACCAGAAGCCAAGCTAACCACTCTCTCTTTTTTAAGAAAACAAAACGTGGTATTGTGATTCTTGTGGTATATGTAGATGATATTGTTAGAACCGACAGTGACAAAGATGGGATACAAGTTCTAATCCATCACTTGAGTTTTAGCTTCCTTACCAAGGATTTGGGCAAACTTCGGTATTTTCTAGGAATTGAGGTGGCTCGGTCGAAGCAAGGCATTAGTCTTTCTCAACGGAAGTATACTCTTGATCCATTAAAGGATGTTGGATATCTTGGTTCGAAACCTGTAGCTACACCCATGGAGACTAATGTAAAACTTAAGGTGGATGATGGTGACCCACTCGATGATCCAGAGATGTATCGGAGACTTGTAGGTAAACTTATTTACCTCACAATCAATCGTCCAGACATCTCATATGCAGTCAATGTTGTAAGCCAGTTCATGACAAGTCCTCAGGTACCTCACATGGAGGCAGTTGTACGCATCTTGAAGTATCTCAAGGGTGCTCTGGGACGTGGTCTACTTTATCGATCTTCTGGACATCTTCGGATTGAGGGATATACAAATGTAGATTGGGCCGGTTCTCCTTCTGATCGACGATCCACCACAGGTGACTACACCTCCATAGGAGCAAATCTAGTAACTTCGAGGAGTACGAAACAGTCAGTTGTGGCTTGTTCTAATGCTGAAGCAGAGTATCGTGCCATGGCACAAACTGCCTATGAACTTACTTGGTTGAAAACTCTTTTACAGGAACTTGGGATTTCAGTCCAGTACCCAATTCCTCTCCATTGTGACAATCAGGCAGCTATTCATATTGCTAGTAATCCAGTCTACCATGAGAGGACTAAACACATTGAAGTAGATTGCCATTTCATTCGATCTAAAGTTGACTCGAATGAGATTGTTACACTTTTGTTCCTTCTGGTAGATAGCTGGCAAACATCTTCATGAAGGCGCTTTCCAACAACTCTACTGATTCCATATGTAGCAAGCTAGGAGTTATTGACATTTACTCTCCAGCTTGAGGGGGAGTGTCGTACAGTATTGTATGAGTTGTCACACGTGTATAATTAGTATTGTATGAGTTGTCACCTGCCCCTCATTACCATATATAGAATTACCATGTAAAGGGTTTTCTAGTTCTCCACTCACCTACTCCCGTAACTTCTCCCATATAAACACCATTGTATTATTGTATTACTTACTCAATACCATATAATTTTTCATATATTCTCTTTCTCTCTCTCTCTTTCGTCAAGCTTCATTTAAACAAACAGGTTACGTTATAAACGACAAATTTATTAAGACCGTATACCGGTCCACAGATAGCATAACTAAATCTAACTTTTAAACAGAACAAGGAATACAAATGCTTAGATTAATGAATTTTATATACATAATAGATTTGCAAAGTCCGTACATATCTACAGCTCTCACCCAAATGAACCTAAATTATCCCTTGGGCTTCAGCCTATATACCTCCCTACTTGAACTGCCCTAATGATACACTCGTACATTACTAAAAAAATGTATTTATAGAAAAATAAATAAAAACTTGCCACCACTGTGGGGCTGAAAGTCTATATGCTTTTGGATTCTATAAAATTTGTTTGTTTAGATTTCCCAAACTAGTTGCTTTGATCGTTTGATTTTACAGGATGAATTTCTACTGTTCATATCCCCCCTGGGCGCGGGGGCCCCTCCCCAAAAAGAATAAAACTATACTTCGTACTTTTCATGTCATCACATTAACAAGATGACTTCTTTTTCTTTTTTAGTCCAAAGAGAAGGATACACAAAAGAGGCCAGGGACAGCCCCCATTTCAACTAGCTGACACCTTCCATACAACAATTTTCATAAATATTAATTTTAAAAACAAGAAATGGATCAATATTAACCTACCTACAATAAGTGGACAACGACCCAAGTGTTTCATATTGGCTAACATTAGGTTTGGAATCAACTACTTCCCGAAATGTAGAGTACATTTGAGAGAACCTTAGAAAATAGATCACTATATAAAGTAATGCATTTCAATAGATTCCTGAGAATGCACCAATTCCTTTGCACATATATTAAGTAAAATAATGCAGACACATTCAACAAGTGTCCCAATTGGAGCTCTGAATGATAGTAAATTAAAAAAGAGATGATGATGGAAATTTCTCTTAGTACTTTGGCATAGTAAATTACATTTGGAACAATTCTTCCATGCAACATTTTGTAGTGATAGAATTTATGCATTCTTCTCAGACTTGTTACAATTGTTCCAACATATTACATGAAATATACATGCAAGTCAACAGTATCATGAACAATCCTACCAGTTCTTAGAAAAAAAAACCTGAACAGCTTATTATCTATGTCAATTTAATCCAACAGGCATGAAGACGATATGACATGAAACCATGGCAAAACCGAAATATTTACATTATATTAGATCATAAATTATCATATTCACTGATGTTTATGAGATATACCATGAATCCAATATACTGATGGTTTTGCAGCTTGCTCTGCAACTTTTTCATCCTTCTCTCCATCTCTATTTTCACCAATATCCAGAATAACAGCAACTCGGTCCCCATTCAACTCATAAACCTCCCCACGTTGACCACTTGACAAAGACCTGCAAATATGTCAAATTTCTTAAGATCAATGATCTAATATCAAATAACAAGCTTTAAAAAACATAAGGGAAAGTAAAAAATATGGAAATAGAGAAACAACTTAATAATGAAAAAGAAAATGACATGTCAGCTATTAGATTCCACGAAAACCCAAAAAATAAAATTAAAATTAAAAATTAAAAATAAAAAAAAATAAAAAATAATCGATTCACGACATCATAGAGATTAACCAAAAAAGAAAATTATATAAACAAAAGATAATGTACGGTTAGTAACAGAAAAATGAATTCAAATATCAAAGCATATGTTCCGTATAAAAATTTAACAAGCTAGAAAGCATTTCTTCATGTAAAAGTGGATTAGTCAGGATTGATGAGGCAGAAACTAATAATTTGAAGATCAAGAACATTTTAAGTCTTTAAAGGCTGAAAAGGATCTCCAACAATGCTATTAGCTTATATAATTTCCTAGCAAATTATAATATAACACCAACCACATGAAGAAATCGGTTGAGGGATAGTTAATTAGTTTATGTTCCTCGAGAAATGTGCAGATAATTCAAAAAGTTCATCAAAAATATTGACGAATGCCGGAGCATTTTATACATAATGTAGGATGTTAATTAATTTCTCATAACGTAGGGATAAAAAGTACTTCATCACTAACCCCAAGGGGTTGGCCTAGTTGGAAAAGACTTGGGCCATGAAGCATTAGGTCACAAGATCAAATCCTGCTAGGTGCAAACAATTCCTTGGAGGGGGCGTGTGAGTACCAACTAGGAAACAAAAAAAGAACTCCGTCACTCTCTTCCCAATTCTATTAGATTTCCCAATAAACTAAGAAGAATTCTGTGAGCAATGATTCAGTGTCCTTAATAGATGTTGGGACTTGTGTCTCAAATTATAATTTTAATTAGGTTTCTATTTTAGAGTTGTTTTGTTAGGAAATTTCTTGTTAGGCAAGTCTCGTGTTGCAAGGTATTGTAACTCTTGAGTCTTGTCCAACAAGGAATTGGATCTAGCACTCTATAAATATGTACCTAGGTTATAATTGAGACTTATGAGATTGAGAGAGATGTAGTCTCTTGGGGGATTTGATGGGTAGAGGTATTTTATAAGTTGGTAGAGTAGGAAAAACACCGGTAACACTGCTAGCAAGGAGACAAGCTCGGGGACTGGTACATGGTGAAAAGATATGTACAAAGTGTTGGTACTCTGCTGTTGTAATATCTCTATAAATCATAGTTGAATCTCTACTCATTCGTGGATGTAGGCCGGTTTGTGCCGAACCACATAATATCTTGTGTTTGTGTGTGATCACTTTGTTGGTTTTCATTGGATCTCTATGTTCGCGCATTTTTGCTGCCCCCAACAACAGATCATCACAAGAAGCAAGAACTGGAACTAGAACAGACAAAATAACGAAATATATATGTTTTGCATAGTTAAGAAACATGAATCTATAACATTCCCTCACGTCCTCGCCTCACTTTCTCATGGCATAGAACATGGATTTGATATTAAATTTAATATTTATCTTTCACATCAAGAAGCGATGGTCTTTTACAGATCGCCATAAAAAATTGAGAACAAAATGCCAATGAGGACGGGAAACAAAGACACAATGTAAATGGTTTGCTCAATAACTGTTTCAAAGATGATATAAAATTAGATGACGTTGAAATCTCCACGGAATATGAGGAACATGAACAAGAAATGCATTTCCTTGATCCTTGATAATCAACCATTCAGCATTCATTTAAAATCTTAGAAGTTTACCAGTACGAGGTAAAAGCAAGTCACCTTTTTCTAATAAGAAAATATATATCTACTCGAATCAATTAAGAGAATTCCTTCCATGTGCAATTTGAATTACTATATATACATGCACTTTATGTTACTCAATAAATGGTTTGCTCAATAAATGTTTCAACGATAACATAAAATTAGATGATGTTGAAATCTCCACGGAAGATGAGGAACATGAACAAGACATGCATTTCCTTGATCCTTGATGATCAACCATTCAGCATTCATTTACAATCTTAGAAGTTAACCAGTACGAGGTAAAAGCAAGTCACCTTTTTCTAATAAGAAAATATATATCTACTCGAATCAATTAAGAGAATTCCTTTCATGTGCAATTTGAATTACTATATATACATGCACTTTATGTTACTCGATGAGAGAGGAAAAAGAAGTACTAGGTGTTTAACTTATACCAATTCGCCCACCAATCCCACAAAATAACACCCCCCCTACCCTTATGACGGAGATAATGGAAGAGAGGGAGGAAGAGTAATATAAAGTGAAGACCATGCGTACAATGCATGACAACTCCAAGGAGAAATGGGCACAATGCAGCAGAAAATATACAACATACAACTAGCCCGTGATCTCCCAAGACAAAATGAGCACAATGCCAAGGACCAAGCTATTGGCTCAAAACAAAACTGCTACTTTCTTATTAAAATAACAAGATATAAATCAAAAAATAAAGTTATATTTGGATCACTACCCAAGACTCTCATGGCTCAATTAGAATCAAAGGGAGATGAATAGGTCATATGGATACTTAATTACAAATAACTAACTTTTCAAATTTATGTCAATCTTTGTTCAATATACAGTTAATTAGTTAATCGTGTGTCTCAATTGCAATCACCCAAACACATAAAGCAGTATTTAAATTAAAGTAGAAGCACAAAACTTTTACGTGAAATACCATAGAGAAAGGCTTACAACTAGGTTAAACATGTTCTACCCCAAGAATCCCCTAGTTACACTTGACCCAGACTCATGCAAGAAGATCCAACTCAAGCTCTGTTGCAGCCAATCAACAAGCTTGTTTCCATGGTTGTCTGATTCCTCGATTTTCACAATATTGCCCAGTTGATGCTTTCTTTGATTGTCTTTGACGTTCTCCTTGCTTTGAATATCTCAATCACATATACTATGGTCCGGTAAACCGTGGATCGAATCCCGAAGCTTCTCTTGTTAATAATATAAATTCTCTCACTAGATTGTAAAGAGGTCCAAGAGACGTAAAACATGTCCTAGATTAGCCCCAAATTTATAGGCAATATAGGAATTATAATTCCTTTTAAAATTTTGTTTCTAGAGACGTTCTAAAACTATCCTATGCTGATCGATTGATTGAACCCTCAACTGATGTTCAACGAACCATTCTGGATGTCTAGACCGATCTCATTGTTTTTACAAAAAACACTGTTTGAAATTTTGTCTAATCCATCAATACTTCAACAGATGGAAAACCCTATTTCTAAATAAAAAAAACACTATTTTGAGCCTTCAAAGATGAAACCTAGATCATGAATTGTCATTAAGGTCTCATCTTACAAGACCTAGATATGTGACTGATCTTGAGAGATTGTTGGCACGTTCTTTGTTAATCTTCATCACCATCGTCTAGTTTCAGTTTTAAACAAATGACTCGGGGCAATAAAATAATTACATCCCTAGTTTTGCTAACACATGGCTCAATAACCTTACAAAAAAATACTAATTTTTTTCTTAGTTGGTACTCACACACCCAGTGACACCCATGCCTACACTGAGGCTTGAACCCCTGACCTCCCTTTGAGAAATAAGGGCTTGGTACCGCTAGGCCACTGACCCGTTGGTAACAAAAACAAAAAATTAAACCCATACTAATAACACTCTATACCATCCAAAAGAACCAAAATATCGGGGTTTTTTTTATTTATAAGTAAATATGTATTAGAACGCGTTCAAAAAGGGGGACGCATCTTAAAAGACTACACAAGGGCCAAAGCCAAGAGGGGTAGGGCCCAAGGAACCCAAAAAAATCAACTATCTGCTCTACAGATTTACAATTTCTCCCCCTAACCCAACAAAAAAGAGAGCCAATAGAATATTCCTCTCCATCAAAGGATCGTGTATTCCGCTCCATCCGTAAGTACCACCAAACGCATAAGGGCACCACCCACCAAACTCCGAAAATCACGGACTTGGGATCCCACATAGCACCCTCTCCAAGCATCAATCAAGCCTCTCAAAGACCAAGGCATGACCCATTGAATTCCAAACCAACCAAAGAGAAGGCACCAAGAGTCATGAGCCACTGGACAATGCACAAGGAGGTGATCAACTGACTCTCCATCGCTTTTGCACATGCACACCAATTAACAGTTACCTACCTTCTACTTCTCAGGTTATCGAGTGCCAAAATCTTGCCCCAAACCATTGTCCAAGCAAAGAAGGCCACCCTGAGCAGAGCCTTAGAACGCCAAACCACCTTCCACGGGAAATCAGGTCCTGAAGTCCGAGACGCATCTAAACAAGGAACGCACATCAAATCTCCCTTGAGAAGAAGGCACCCAAACGAAGATTCCAGACCTCCACCATCAATCTCCTGTTCATACAAGAGCTCGAAAAAGCTAAAAACGTCATCCAGTTCCCAGTCCTGTAGCCAAAATTTCAGTTTTGATGGAACACCTTTTTCTATTACTTTGGAAAAAGCTAGGCCACATAATCTGCAAGGACATGAAAGTGGAACCGGGGGCTAAGGCCGCTACTACTTTTATAAATATAACAGCATCTCTGAACTAAGGGCTCAATCAAGCATTTTAGAATGGAGAACCTCACTAATACTTAGCTCCTCAAAGCCAACTACATGGTTGGAGTGTCCCATTTACCCTTAAGATGGTTTGGACACTTACATCAGAGACCTAGTAACACGCCGGTCAAAGGAAGAAGACTACTAGGAGGTAAGAGATGGAGAGGGCGACCAAAAATAATATGAAATGAGGTTATTAAAAATGACTTTAAAAAGTTAAATATAGCAGGTGAAATGGCATGTAATAGAAAAGATTAGAGATAGAGAATTTATGTGGCCAACTCCATTCATATGGGATTAAGGCGATGACGATGACGATGATGATGATGATGATGATACTTGTCAACATGACAGGATACTGACACAACTACAAAATGTGTGTCGGACACAAGTATCGGTGTATCATGTGAGGATGAAAGAAGTGTTAGGGTTTCACACACATAATTAGCAAATATAACAGATAAAAGCACACACACAAGCAAAATGAGATTTACGTGGTTCGACAAATTGCCTAGTCCACGGGCAAAGAACGACTTTTACTTCAAAACTTGATTACACACTCTCTCTTCTCACAAACTCAACTCACTTTTTCTCTTTACAATTATTTCTCTCTTTCTCTCTCTATTCTAATCTCTCACACCCATCTATATTTATAGAGTCTTCACACCAATTCCTTGTTAAACAAGAGTTCACAATTTGCCTACCAATGAATTTCCATATCAATTCTACTCTAACAACTTCCCAAATTGGAATAGGAAACCAATTCACGCACAAACGCATTCCGCATCTTTAGGTCACATACCGTTTCAACTATTTTGCCCAAGCGCAACCGGTTTCGCTTGTCCATAATAGAATTCTCACCAGAATTTTAAGCCACAACTCTAACAATCTCCACCTTAGCTCAAAATTATATCTTCACGTGCTCCTCCATAGCTCCACCTCGATTGAAAAAAACCCTCCACTTTGAACCTATCATCTTCTGCCTTTTTATCGTTCTTCGCCGTCCACCACACTCATCTTTACCTATCAAATTCCAAGTTCAAATAATTAAACTTGGAATCTATCTTCGCATCACCAAATCGAACTCTTCTTGCTTCTGGGATAAAGACTAGTGCTCTTGCAATTGTAAAGACTTCTTCCTTCTCTTGCTACTCTTGATTCTCCATTCTAGTAGATCTTGAAACAGGCTTCCATTATGTATTCGCAATTGCACCAACTAGCATGGTATTTCCCAACAAAATATAGAGAATGTTGACCTTCCTTCCCAAAAGTATAATACGTGGCCCCCTTCTAATCTTTATTAATCCATTCATCACTTCACACCAACAACCCTTATCATTATCACTCTCTTCTTTCGGATCCTCAGACACAACAACAGCAGCGAATGCACTCTCCTTTCCTTCTGGACAACACCACTGAATATGCTCCTTTCTTCCACACTTGTAGGCATCTTTTCTCTGACAATGTCACAAGATTTCTTAAAGCTCCAAATCTCTACTTCTCTTGAGCAATAAGAACTTGAGTCTCAGCATCACGACTCTCTTCATCATTCAACTTCTCATTAGAGAACAAAGCACTCTTAACTTGTTCCACCAAGATGGTATCTCTCCCATAAAGCAAAGTATTGAATAAATGCTCGTAGGTAGAGTATACCGATGTTAACAAAATAATTGTTTTATCCTCATCACATAACTTGACATCAATATTAGATAAATCATAAATAATTTTGTTTAGCTCACCAAGATGTTCTTGTAGGCTTACCCTTTCTTTTCTCATGAAGGAATTTAATTCTTGCTTTAAAACTAACCGGTTGGTGAGATTCTTTCCCATATACAGATTCTCCAACTTCTTCCACGTGTTTGTTGCTAAATCTTCTATTATCACATCATACGCAATATCATCAACCTAAGTCAATTGAATCGCACTCATTGCCTTCAAGTTGATCTTCCCCCATTGTGCATCTTCCATCTTTTTCGGTTTCTTACCCAAAGCCTCTCCTAGACCATGCTAAATCAGTAAATCTTGCATCCAAACTTGCCAACGACTAAAGTTCCTTCTTCCATCAAACTTCTAAACCACATAATTTCCATCTGTAATAGTTGCCGCCATAGCTCAATTGTTAGGGTTTCACACACACAATTGGCAAATATAACAGATAAAAGCGCACACACAAGTAAAACGAGATTTACATGTTTCGGCAAATAACCTAGTCCACAGGCAATGAACAACTAACTTTACTTCAAAACTCGATTACACACTCTTTCTCTTCTCACAAACCCAACTCACCTTTCTCTCTAAAATTACTTCTCATTCTCTCTCTACACTAATCTCTCACTCCCATCTCTATTTATAGAGTCTTCACACCAATTCCTCATTGGACAAGAGCACACAATTTTCCTATCATGGAATTTTCATATCAATTTTGCTCAACAACTTCCCAAATTGGAATAGGAAACTAATTTATGCACAAACGCAACTGGTTCCCATCTCTGGGTCACGGTCACGCACCGTTTCAACTATTCTGCCCAAGCACAACCAGTTCCGTTTGTCCAAAATAGAATTCTCACCAGAATTTTAAGCCGCAACTCTAACAAGAAGGGGAATTGCTTTCTGGAGCTCTTTAAAATCAGGGCCTTCAGTGACCCAAGTATACCATGCGGCTGAAGGTCAACAATCACCAAAATCATAGCAAAAGAATTTAATAGAAGTAATATTAGATAAGAGCAAGAAGGAGATGAAGATCGCACTGCTAGAGCTCTTCAGGGGATTTCAGTATTGAACACTTCCACTTCGATAACGAATGCTCCCCCAACCACAAATACTCCAATAACCTAACCATGTGCCATCTTCACTAACATATTAAGTATGAAAAGGAATCAAAGTATGCCTAGAAAATGGATATTCGAGTACAATGGTCAGTATCCCAAGATTCGACATTGGCATCCCAATCATATTCCTCAAAACATTAGTTTATGATCAACTAATGCCATATGGAGATTGGATCTTTAAGAAATACCAACAATCCTTTCCTTCCAAGGTTCTATAATAAGGACCACATTGCCTACTTCTAGCACACCTTCCTTCTTGAGGCAGCAATAACTCCTCTGACCCCAATTGAGGATAATGAATATCAAATATATATTAACAAAATTCTACACAGGCATATGTATATTAGCAGGTATGTACATACAAACGGCTAGATGCACATGCACATAAACACGTTTTTAACTTATTCTTGAGTAATTTAGTTTATCACTGCCTCCACCTCTGACATAAAAAAATTATTTGCCATGTACCCGCTGCACAAACGGGAAATCTTTCACTGTCTTCTGCATTTCGTCCAACTTTGTATTGTTGCCTTGGTAACCAGTCAGCAAAACTAAAATACCCAAGATACTTCAATACAACTATACATGTTGAGATACGATGTAGAAACCCAAAAATAAATTAAAAAAAAAGTTACAAAACCAAAAAATAAATAATAGAGGAAAAAAAAAAAAAAAAAAAGGCTTTTCCATGACAAGAAGGAAAATAGGAGCCTGTTTGGGAGGGCTTACTGTAGCCTCAAAACAGGCTTCTAAGTCAAGGAAGTCATTCCCCCAATAAAAACAAGTGTTTGGTAAAATTCTTCAAATGGGCTTCTAGAAAAATTCATCCCGATGAAAGCCCGTTCAGCCAAAGCCACAGAGAGTTGCTTTCTGAAACTCATTCCCGCAAATCCAGCAACTACCATTAATGTTGAACATAGAAATACCATTTTGTCCCTATTTATAACTGAATGTTACCCATTTTAACCCTAAATCTTTATGTAATTACAAGTCATGCTTCTCTCTACTCTATCCCTACATTCTCTCTAAACTAACAAACTTGTATATACACAACTCTCAAAATTCAAACCCGGCGACCAGAGCAACATCACCACCGACCAGTTCAATCTACTAACAGTAAGAACATGAATGCAATTGGCATCGCCATTTGCATAGATGGATCAATCTACTTCATTTATCCTTTACCATAGCCAATGAAAGTTATTAGATTTGGAATCTAAGTGGGTGTTCAGCCATGAACACCCATGACTGCTACAATGTGAAACTTTGACCAAATAAAAAAGGAAGCTTTCTTTTATGAAGATGGGTGGCTGGGTGTGACTGAAGAAATACCTAAAGCACAATATGTAGTTTGTTTCTTTCTTTTTATTTTGAGATGGTCTTATTTAGAGATAGGTGATTGAGTCATGGGTTTAGGGTAATATTGTAAATCAAAAATCATCTTTATTGTCAAAGGACTTTTCCTTCTAATAATCCCTTCTACAAGGTCCTCATAATAAAGGACTTCTAATGACAGGAAGCTCCCCCAAACACTACCTAGGTAACTTGGGAGCACCATGGAGCAGAATGTGCTATAACTGGCGGTAACTTTTGTATATTATTTTTTCACATTTGAAAAGATGAATGCACCCACTCCAAAAGAAGATAGCTTAGATGTTCAAAATCAAGATGCTTCAGCAAATTTATGCTGACAATGAGGTCACTACGCTACCGTTATCTTTGATTTCAGAACGGAGTTAACCTACTCACACAAGGAAATTAATCCACATCTTGGAGCACTATTTGACTGAAAAACAAGGAATTGTCTTAGATGCTCCCAAAGAAATCGAAAGATAAAGAATAAATGCAGTTCCAATTATGTGCCAAGAGTAAAAGGGCAACAGCAGTTTTTCGTCCATATGTGATATGTCATGTCTACTTACCAACCCACCTGCTACGTATAATGGTATAAGCATTTGTTGGGCCATCAGAAGTTGGTATCTTCCCCAGTCCAACCCTGTGATTCATTATATATGTCAACAATCAGGCGAGTCTAAAAGTGATAGTTGATGGGCGAAGGTTCAAGTTGAAGGACCTTCAGAAGATACACTAGAAATATGAAATGCCCTACCCCGCATATGTTTGTCAGTCATCACAGTTTCAAAATCAAACAGTTAGCTTGACAGATATCATTTCAGAAGTAAGCTACAATGCTAGGACATCGCCTGCAACCAATAAAATACTCTCGCAGTTCCACATCCTGACATTTATCCGTAATTTAGGGCGGACAACGCAAAACGTATACGAGAATCTTGATTAAAAAAAAATCAGTATTCTATATAGCAGAAACTTGGTCTTAGAAAAGTTCATATAAAAGGGGAAAAGTTCATAATCAATAAAAAAAAATCAAATTACATCAAGATATAATTTAAAACAAAATAGATTTACCACCAAAGGTTGTAGCCTAGTGATACTTCCTTCCTTCCAAACTAGAAGGTCGAGGGTTAAATTCCCCATATGGGCAAGTGTATGTGTGTGTGTGTGTGTGTGTGTGTGTGTTTCTTGCCAAGGTAAAACAAATAAATAAAAATAAAAACAAAAATAAAATGGAGTAGATTTGCTTACCCTCTTCGTATGCGGTGATAGTAATAAGATGCTAAATATTTTTTATTTTGATAATAAGCCTAATTTATGACAAAACATCTAATATGCAAACAAGAACCAAAATTTCTCTAACAAAATGCCCCATAATTCAAAAACAAGAATTTTCGACATGAAAAAGAAGAATCGAATAAAAAATCCATCCAATAGAATAGTTAACAAATCCCATCTTTAATGGTAAGTTGTTCACTAGAGATTCAGATTGAAATACGAAGAAAGACAAAATCACAAAAGCCATAGCCAGGCATTCACATTAGGCTTCATTTTTGCTAAACAACCTGGATGGTGAAGCGGAAAAATATTCCAAGAGAATATCTTTGAGGTAAAATTCTAATATCCAGCATGTCATTTTGGCATGTTCTTCTTTTCTGACTATAAGGTGCAACGGCTGTAACTTTGTAAAATTTTTCAGCATCTACATAAGGATGTTCAAAGATAACCGGATTTCTACGGCTCCCAACAGGTAAAGGATTTAAGGTTGAAGCTTCATTAAGTTTTTTGTTCCTCTCATACAGTGGCATCACTCTTGATACAATCCTTGCGATAATCCTTCTTTTGCTTTAGACAAATCTATAACCATCATTTGGTCCCTTGTCATTCTTATCATTATTGATGGTAGTAACTCCGGAATCAGAGTCAGATGGAGAAACATACAAAGATCCTGATGGAATTCAATATCATCTCTGCCTTCCCTAACTGGCTACAGTGGGAAAATTCCCAGCATCCCATCCTTCTCTGGTTGTAGGAGCATGAATTGGTATCAATGTCAGTTTTTGGACATCAAATCAGTCCCCAGGATTTATACACTATCGCAACATATGTTTTAAAGTAATGTTCTATTCTCCCAAAAACAGTCACTATTTTCAAGTGCATTCATCTGTTATCCAATGCACAGGTATTTTCTTGGGCTAGGAAATTTTTTTCCATTAGGCTACTTTTGGTTATTCCTGTTATTTTCTAAGGTATGCTTATATCCTTTTATGCGTAAAGTGAGTATGTGATGCAAATAATATATATATATATATATATATATATATTTTGATAAGTAAAAATAAATCAATTAATACTGCACCCATGACTTGAACCTGAAACCTTAAGCACAAATCCCAAGCACACTACGAACTTGGCTACCACACTCTTGTCGTGATGCAAATAATAATTAATAGTCTTGGAAAGTGTCTAGTCAAAGTTTTAAGTAGTAATTTTTTTATTGTTTTTATAAATAAAAGGGTATTAGAAAGTGTTCAAAAGGGGAACGCATCCCAAGAGCTATACAAGGGCCAAAGCCAAAGAGGTAGTTCTATAGACCCAAAAAATCCGCAATTTCATCTAAAGATACACAATTTCTCCCCATCACCCAACTAAAAAATTTCAGTGCCCCAATGGAGGATTCCTCCCCATCAAAAGATCTTCTATTCCTCTCATTCCAAATACACCACCAAACACAAAGGGGGGTCGCCCTCCAAAAATCACATGCATGGCTGCGTGGGCCCCTGCACTGTAGCCCCTCCAAAAGTCAATCAAATCTCTTGGGGACCGAGGCATAACCCAATGAACGCCAAACAGACCAAAGATAAAACTCTAGCAGTCGTGAGCCACGGGGCAATGCAAAAGAAGGTGATCCACGGACTCTCCATCATTTTTGTGAGAAGTTTGAAAGTGAGTCTATAGTAAGCGTCATTAATACTTGTCTTATAAAAGTGATAGCCCTATGTATCTGCTGAACCAAGTCTTATTCAATATAAGTTTGATATATTATCAGATTTTAAACTTCTCTTCAGGCTTTCCCAGATTTCCCTTTAGAAATCTTATAGGGTATGATCGGACAGAAAGTTGGCTAAGTCCATTCCCTTTGTCTGCCTTACTCTGAAGTACCGGGAAAGAGGACTTCCCTCTGGTCTTCTTCTTGGTAAGCCCTATCAACTGGAACTAGTAATGCTTCAATGAATCATCTACAAAAACGAATGGTATTGCTGTTTTAATGCTTTAAAACAAACGATGGAAGCCTAGATACCCCCATCTCCACAAGAGGGTACGTCGTTCCTTAAAAGTAAGGGAAATTGTCATGGAATTGGTTTTGATTGTAGTGTTCTAGTAGCCAGTTTTGTTCTCTAATCCGACGAGGTTGAAACCGCAGTTGCACCGATCACTTGACCTTATTTCAAATTGGTATCCGGAGGCGAAACATCTCAATAATGCCACCCAAAGGATTGATGGCCGACATCACGGTTGGAGCGTCCAAAGAGTCTGGATGCGATTAAACTATCTGGCAGAGATACATGGTTGGTAACTCTGAGTGGTCTGTTAACCACAACCCAGCATCATCAACTGGGAACAGTGATCCAACACAGTCATCTAAAATAAAGATCGAAACCAACTAGGCTATCCTGAAGAACGCTAATCAGATATTTGATTCTACGCTTCCAAGGAATGAGAAAGTCATAGACTCGATCCCTCGCGACAGCGTGAAGGCTCCAACGGTGGTTGGAGTATTTCTAGTCTTCCTTACTTCTGTAAGGAGACTTCTGTTTTTATCAAGGATTTGAGAGTAAAAATCATGAATATAAATCAGACTTTGCTTCTTAAGGCAGGCAATAAAAAGATAAAGACACTGATCTTCCAATGGAACGTTGTTCAGTAAGCACTACAGCAGATTTAGGTGGCTTGAATAACTTGGGAAATGAAGCGTCGTTCATGAAGTTGGAAAATCCATATAACTTGGAGTTGTTCTCATTCAAAAATCAGATTAATTCAGGTTTTGTTTCATGATATGTGTTCAAGCAAGCTTCAGAAATCTTCTAAATTTAAAGAAAGAGCTCGGGAAGTTCATGAAAAGATGTTCTCTGATTGTGAAAGAAGATTATTGTGATTTGTTCAAGTAAGGAAAAGAAGAAAGAAAGGATGGAAGGCTTTATTCGGGTTTTTAATAGATCGTGGTAAATTGCTTCAAACTCGAGGGCGAGTTTTCTTCAAGGAGGAGGGTCTGATGCAAATAATAATCAATAGTCTTGGAAAGTGTCTACTCAAAGTTTTAATTATGGTATGGGAAATCTGAAAATGTCATGGGAATGGTAAAAGCAGTCATTAATTCTCTGTGGGTAATCTAAAAGTCAGTCTAGAGAACTGAAGGATCATTAATAGTCTTATTATAAAAGGGACAGACCTCTATATCTGCTGCAACCAAGTCTTTATCAATATAATTTTGACATATTATCAGATTTTATATTTATCAAAAAAAAAAAGAAGATATTATCAGATTTTATGCTTTTTCCCGGTGACTCATTCGTTTTTTGTAGGGCTAATGATACGGAACTCTCTAAACTTAGGAGGAGTTTAACAGTGTATGAAAGATTATCTGGGCAGAGGGTAAATTATGAGAAATCTTAAAGGATTTTCAGTGGAAATGTCCCTAGAGAGGAGAGGGAAGAATTAAGCAGGAGTTTTGGGATCCCTATTGGTGGGAATTTTTATAAGTATTTAGGCTTACCTCCTGAGATAGGAAGAACAAAGAAGCAAATATTTTCTAAGGCTTTTCCCAGATTTCCCTTTAGAAATCTAGGCCACAACAGTGATTGGAGTATTTCAAGTCTTCCTTACTACTATAAGGAGACTTCTGTTTTTTTTTTCTGTTTGCTACAGGATGGAGGAAATGCGAATGTTGAGATGGATGTGCGGTAAGACGAGAAATGATAGAATTAGAAATGACCACATTTATGAGATGAGATGATTGAAGTACAAGATGATCTTGACATGTGCAAAGAAAACCACTTAAGTGCGCCGGTTAGAAAAAGTGGCATGGTCCACATTGAAGGTAAGCCTAGGGGAAGACAAAAGTTAACGTCGGTGGAGTGAGTAAGGAAGGATATGATAGCATGGGGTTTGATTGAGGTTGTAGCCTCATATAGAGTGTAATGGAAAAATAGGAGTCGTGCAGCAACACCAAGTAGTTGGGAAAAAGGCTTTGTTGAGTTGAGAATGATTTGATCCTTCACTTTCGTTTATTGCAAAGCTATAAAAGAATTCCCAAAAGCATTTTCTTACTATAAGACCCGTCAAAAATTTCCTCCTCGTCAACAATAAGATTTTATGCACGACCTGTCCAGAACCACAAATGCTTGTTGATAGATAACTTATTAAATCTCTCCACCCTTCAATTTTCTTCTTTTGATAGGTAAGACACATTCATGGACCCACTTTATCAACCCTCAACCACTTCTTTGGAAGGTGTAGAAGATACCGCTCAAGCTAATGGTTGGTGGACTCTCTCCTTTATCTCACTAATATACATTTCCTTTTTCCATTTCATTTTGCTTTTGTAATAGACTCCTAGTCACATATCCTCTAATCCTCCCAAAAGAAATGCAAATGCTTTTCTTTAACTAATACAAGAAACAGCTACAACAGCATTAATTAGAAGCTGAGTTCAGTTCTAAGCAAAGAAAAACACACACAAACAAACAAACGAAAAAGGAAAAGATTAGAAACACTAAGAAATATATTATTGGAAGTCAGTTCAGCCAACATTAATGGCTTATCATTGTGCTTGCAAGACAAAACCACCACCTTAATATTAACCAATATAACAACAATCATCATGATAGGTTTCCGTTAATTGAACACTTTCAACCAAACAAAGTTTTACAAATAAATTAGAAATCTAGGATCATAAAAACATTATATGAGAACTGTAGAAACAACTAGGATTCTTAAATCAATAAATACAAACAACATATTGTTTCAAAGAACAAAGCGCGTGACCAACCAAGTAAAATATAAAATATTGAAATCAGTCAAATTCAAGATTCAACAGATGGGGAAAAACATCATGAGTATATATCACGAACATCCAAAACAAAAGCTTATATTTGAGTGATACAAAAACATTGTTCGTAATCCCAAAGTGAAATGCCCAATTTACGAGGGAGAATAATGCCCAATGAACAAGTATGTGTTTCTAGAACAGCAAAAAAAAATTAACACCTGAACATCATATACAGATAACATAGCAAGTGCTCATATGATGTGAACACGGAAAAGGTAATGACCTGTTATCAGCTTCAATGCATAGAGAAGGACCAATGTATTTCACCCGATCCCCTGAAAACAGATAACGCAAAAGGGATGTAAATAAATTAATAAAAACTTGCATTATACAGAGGAATCAGCTAAATCAATAGGAGTTACTCATTCAAATGAAAATGCAAAATGCCAGCGTTTAATTTTGACAACGAATCAACACGGATTACCATCTGCAGCATCACTTCACCTTCACCATTATTAAGTGGCAACACTGTGACTATGCACCACCTCCACTTTTAGAATGACATCAAGACCGCCACAATACCAGCCACCTTCACAATGACCATACCACCTCCGCCACCACAGATATAACACTATCTCAAACACAACCTCCACGATAGCCAACATTCACTTCATCATCACATCCATCACTGCTGCATCTCCCAACACTTTGACCTTCATATACACTGCCACTACCACTACCACTACCAATGCAGAGTATGCATACAAGAACAGGAGCAATTGCAATTTCGTATAGAAGTATATAACACATTATGACCAATCTATAATCAAGTTTTTCGTTGAATAATGTCTTAATTTAAGTTTGGGTTAATTGCACCAAAAAGAAGAAGAAGATGATGATGAAAACCCCTGAAACACAAAATTTTTGCAAGTTACTCCCTTGAACTGAAATTTGTTCACTCAACTCTGGAAAAGCGGCTAAGAAATCAACCAATCTAATTATTGTTAGTTTGATGTTAACTGTATCGTAAAATCACTGAATTGACTCCTAAAATTTTAAAATTTAATATATGTATGAGTAAAACAGAAAATTAAAATGGCAATATTATCCATATAATCTCCATCCCGTCTTAGCTTTTGAGGGATTCGTTCCCCTTTTGAACGCTTCTTAATATACAATCGTACTTCTCAAAAAAATAATAATCCCCATCTCCTCTTTGTCTCTTGCGCTGGCTCTCTGCTCTTCTTCACTCCATATCTCCACCGAAGTCCATCCGGTCCCAAATGTCCTGAACAGAGACTTTTCTGGCTTACATCCACAGCTTGGTCCTCACCTCCGGCTACACCCATCAGGCAACATGGAAACACAAAATGAGAGATGGTCCCAAAGAACCACGCATGATATTTCATCCATTCCCTTGGAGCCTCGAATTTCTAATGATCAGATTGTTGGAATATTCAATTCAAACTTGCCAAATCAGTTTATTTAGATTTATCTTAACTTTAGATACTCCTTTGATGACCACCCCTCTGATTGCAAATAAAAGCTGAAGCTTTAGTGTGTAATGGACTATCTATTAGTATAATCAATTTATTTGAATTTCATTCTTAGTATGGGTATATTTGTGTTTGTTAGTGTGCTCTCATATACATACATATATACATATAGATATGCATATATACATATAGACATATATATATATAGAAACACATAGACACCACTGTTTCTTCATTTTTTGCATCCATGTGTTACTGAGTTTTTAACTATATGCCAACACTATTTTCCCTCTCTCAATTCATTTTTAGCTTCTGCATATCTTCGGCAACTCGCCGTAGACACACATAGAATAAGCTTCCAACCTAAATTATCTTAATTTGGGTTCACAAGGAAGGTACAGTTGAAAACATTGAGATATATATATATATAGAGAAAGAGAGAGACTAACTAAAGGGTAATTTGGAGTTTTAGAAGGGTTGGACTGTGAGATATATATTTTGTAATTAGCTAATTTCGTTGTCAAAACAAGTCCGATTGAGTTGTGATTCTGAGTTCAAATTCAAGTTTGAGATCGGAAGCGGAATTAAACAGTTGTTTGTGATCAATAGCTTGATGACTTCGAAAAAGGTAAGAACAACACCTTAAGAAGTTTAGATAGAAGGTAAGGACACTAGCATACATTGCATGTTTTCAAAAATAAGTGTTGCCGAAATTTTTCTAAGTGTAAAAGCAGGTCTGGCCAACTTGAACCGGTTCAAGTATTGAAGCTTCGTTTTTAAAAAACACACTGGCCAACTTGAACCGGTTCAAGGTTTGCAGCAGTTTTTGGAAACTTTGTTTCCTACTCTGTTTCAACTTCCTATTATATATAGACTTTCTTCTAAAACCTTATGCACGAAATTAACTTATTTTCCAAGTTCAATTAGGGTTTCAAAGGTCTATATAAACACTTAGGGTGGTGTGGCTTTTTGCATTAAAATTATGATTTTCATTAAAAGCTTTATTGTGAGATTTTTAAGAACATACACACTATATACACACGAGTGAATTTAGAGTGTTGTTCAAATCCTACTCGTGTTCAAGTCTATTGAAGATTGCATCTACAATGATCAAAGAAAGCGTATCTTATTTCTTGTACAACAAAATCAGATTCGAAGAAGAAGAATCTTTGAAGGGATCAAGGCGCTTGCGTAGTGTTGTTGACTACCAGCAATCCTTCTACAAGGTTCGAGGCATGAGTTTGAAGCCGAGAGTTGTTGGATGGGAAGTCGCAAAGTCAGGGACATTCAGCGGATCGAGTCTTGGTAGAGCGAAGAGGTTTGAGGCTAAGTCAAAGTTCGGTGTACTTTGCTTCATACATAGTGGATCTTTTTACGCTTGGGATATCGAAGAAGAAGAATTTCATATCACACTTCGAAGGGATCAAGGAGCTTGCGTAGTGTTGTTGACTACCAGCAATCCTTCTACAAAGTTCGAGGCATGAGTTTGAAGTCGAGAGTTGTTGAATGGGAAGTCGCAAAGTCAGGGACGTTCAGCGGATCGAGGTTTTCCAATTGGTTTGGGATATAACACAAAACCTCGAGGTTTTCCAATTGGTTTCCTCACTAAAATCCGGTGTCACTCTAAACTTCACTTGTTTTTAATTTTTGTGCTTGTTTAAATAACCAGTAATTTTAGTAGAGTCAATTGGATAAAAAAAACACGTGATTAATTCCTCTCTCAAAACAGTTTTAAAAACTCAAACTTTCCACAACCTATTCCGCTGCACAACTCACATGGACATCACATGATACTCACGCAAATGGTACTCTGTTTGTTAATGGAGGATTAACAAAGGGGGCAATTCTGTAACTCATTTGAGAAAACAGGATGGTTCTGTTAAAATCTTAGTACATAGCTACAGAACAAATCCATTAGCTATCTAACACAAATTCTTAAATCAGACCCAAGACATGGTGAAAAGTTATGCAAAATACAAGAGGTAAGGCATTGCCAGCCCAACAACTACACACCATGTAGGAAATTATTGCATAATTAAGAAAGAACAAGAAATCAAAACTTTTATTAAAAGTATCGGCAAGGGTTCCTTTACTAGAAAAAGAGGGGGAGGGCTGCATTAAAGAAATGTGTTCCCACTATTGAAATCAACCCTTTGCTGGAAGACAAAAGGTGTTGGACCTTCTAATGGGATGAAATGGTTTACAGATTCATAGAAAAGCATTGTGTCAGTAACTTTCAACATGTAAACACCATAGAAAATCAATTCAAGTTAGTTGCAGCAAGAAAACAAGCTAATAAGCACATTGCAGGGCATGGAAGTTGAAATGTGAATAAATGCTACGGACTTGAGATATATAACCTCTCTTAAGCGGCCTCTTCTGTTTATCAGAATCCTCAACAGCCTCCGACTTTGATGATTCCGAGGAACTTTCAGATTCTCCAGAGACTCTCTGCACAAATATAATTAAGAACAAGAAAATGGATCAAAGATCGGCATTCATGACAATACTAAACAGTATTCCAAATTAATTACTCACATGTATAAGAGGCCCTCATCGAAACAATATGTAAAAACTATCAACCTCTACAATTAACATTTTTATCAAGGAACCAACTTGGTTCTGTGGTTTATGGTCAACATTCTCCAATATTTATTTATTGATAATGCTTAATAAAATTTCAAAGAATAGGCAATAAATGGAATTATTAAACATTATATATATTTATGATATACGACTCCATATTACAAGTTCATAGGTCAATAACTACAACCAATAAAATTGCCTAACAACTTATTTTATAACAGCGGTGGCAGCGCCAGGTGCGCCGGGGGGGGGGGGGGGGGGAGGATTTGTTAATGGTCGTATTAGATATAAAGTGTAATAATTTGTCAAAACGTGTTAAAGTATGTGATACGGAACTGGGAATGCATTTTCAAGCTGCTGGAGTGCAGGTGTTTTGCCTACCAGATGCACTTTTGAGGGTTAGCTAAAGGAATCTTATCCTGCCTACATCTATTTGCCATTGAAAACTCAACGATTATTTCAAAGCAGATTGAATCAAGACAATTTTAGATTTTACTTGAGATGGGGTGTTCAAAAATTAATCATATTTGCTATCACTCACAACCTTCTCACTTTCTATTGTACATGTTGGAAGAACCGTAGAGAGAGAATTTTGGAGAAGAGAAAAGTATTATGTATATACATCATATCACTGTGGATACAGCCCTAGGTATATATAGATACAAGGAAACAATAAAAGAAAAGAATGTGAGTGTGTGACAACTAATAATCTACGTGTGACAGCTTATACTATGTTATACAACGCTCCCCCTCAAGATAGAGAGTAGTTGTCAAAAACTCCCAACTTGCTACATATGGAATCAGTAGGGTGCTTGGGAAGCGCCTTGGTGAAGATGTTGGCCAGCTCACTGCCACAAGGAACAAAAGGTGTAACAATCTCATTCGAGTCAACTTTTGATCGAATGAAATGACAATCTACTTCAATGTGTTATGGTAGACTGACTTATCAAAAAAAAAAAAAATGTGTTATGGTAGACAGGATTGCTAGCAATGTGAATAGCTGCCTGATTGTCACAATGGAGAGGAATTGGGTATTGGACTGAAATCCCAAGTTCCTGTAAAAGAGTCATCAACCAAGTAAGTTCACATGTAGTGTGCGCCATGCACGACACTCTGCTTCTGGAGCGAGCCACAACTGACAGTTTCTTGCTCCTCCAAGTTACTAGATTTCCTCCTATGAAGGTGCAGTAACCAGTGATGGACCATCGATCAAAAGGAGAACTAACCCAATCTGCATATGTGTATCCCTCAATCCGAAGATGTCCAGAAAATCAATAAAGCAGACCAAGTCCCAAAGCACCCTTGAGATACTTCAAGCTGCGCATCCATGTGGGGTACCCAAGGACTGGTCATGAACTAGCTCACAACACTGACTGCATAGGATATGTCTGGACAAGTCATTGTGAGGTAAATAAGTTAACCTACAAGTCTCCGACACATCTCGGATCATCGAGTGGGTCATCATCATCCACCTTAAGTTGTAAATTAGTCTCCATGGGTGTAGCTATAGGTTTCAAACCAATATATCCAGTATCCTGTAAGCTATGTTACTTGGACTCGCTGGAACCGGCGAGAGTGTCTGTGTCGACACGACGCCGACACGGACACAGGATATGAGTCCGACTCCTCATTTGTCTACTAGACATGGCTGCCATTGATGGTGGTGCTAGGAAGCTGGTTCAAAAAACAAAAGGGGTTGGCTGCCATTGACGGTGGTGTTAGTTCTAAAAGGTTGAAGATGTGTGTCTCAGCAAGCGTGCTTCAGATCTATCTCTTAATAACTTTTTTTTTTTTGATAGCTAAGATGAAGCTCTCTCTTATTAACATTTTTTTTTTTTTTAATGGCAAATATGAGGCCACTTGTCCACGGTAGACGTAACCTTTTAGTTAATGGAATACAGTTGTAACTAGTGGATTACAGCTCTAAGGCATTAATTACTGCTGTAACTAATTTAAAAGTAATAGTATAAGTTTACACTGCACTTTTACTTACAAAAATACAATACGGTTACTTTTATTAAACAAATGTCAAAAACCAGGCTGGCATATTTCTTTCAAATGGTATTCGAAAGGTACAGCTAACATAAACAAAAGGTACAGCTATGGCATGAAAGCCGGTCAATATTTATTTTTATTTTTATTGCAAAATTGATGGCTCATACATTAAAAGTTTATACAATTTTCATTTATAGAAGTGTCCAAGTACCCATGTCTAGATACTAGACAATTTTTAGCCGAGTCCCCATGTCCCTTAATTTGATATATTAACGAATCCGACCTCCAGACACACACCCGTGTCTAACACCCGTACCCAAGCCCGGGTAACATAGAGATCAAGAGTATACTTTCTCTAAGAAAGTCTAATGCCTTTCTTCGACCGAGCCACCTCAATTCCTAAAAACTACCGAAATTTGCCCAAGAATCACAATACCACGTTTCGGTTTTTGTTGTAAAGCATAAAACGAAAGCGAAGAGATAAATAAAACAAGTAGAACACACAGATATTACATGCTTTAGCCACTAGGGCTTACATCACAACACACAAAGAGCCCAAAGGAATACATCTCTTTATTATACTCTCTTAATTCATATATAATACAATGGTGGAGGCTCCTTTATATAGGAGAAGAAATTAGGAAAATAGAAAGAACTATAAAATAGGAAACAAGGAGGATTTTTCTCCATTGATTCCTCCCGTAACACCAAATCTTCAATAATAGGAAATAACATCAATTACTGAAAGATTTTCCTCCACTGATTCCTCCATTAAATCTTCAATACTCCCCCTCAAGTTGGAGCATGAATGCCCAACTTGCCATAGAGATGACGAGTAACAACAAGTGTGAATTATGAAGAAAAAAGAGAGGAGACAAATAACAATGCTACCGAACACACCGACAGCCCAAACAAGTAGACAAAAAACTGCCAAAGACACAGCAAGACGAGAACAATGCTACCGAACACACCAACAGCCCAAACAAGTTGATAAAAACTACCAGAGACACAGCAAAGATGAAGACAATGCTACCGAACACATCGGCAGTCCAAACAAGTCAATAAAAACTGTCGGAGACACGGCAAAGGCGAAGAACATTACTGCTGAACAAACCGGCAACCCAAACAAGTCACAAATAGCACCAGAAAACCCTTAGCAACATTTCAAATGCTAAAGGAATACCCCAAAATAAAGGTCCAAACCTAGGAAGAGAAATTAAGCCCTGATACCATATTGTAAAGCATAAACGAAAGCAAAGAGATAAAGAAAACAAGTAGAACACACAAATATTACGTGGTTCAGCCACTAGGACTTGCACATCCACGACACACAAAGAGCCCAAAGGGCTACATCTCTTTATTATACTCTCTTAATTCATATACAAAACAATGGGGGAGACTCCTTTATATAGGAGAAGAAATTAGGATCATGGAAAGAATTATAAAATAGGAAACAAGGAGGATTTTTCTCCACTGATTTCTCTAGTAACACCAATTCTTCAATAATAGAAAACAACATCAATTGCTGAAAGATTTTCCTTCATTGATTCCTCCATTAAATCTTCAATAGTTTTCTTAAAAAGAGAAAGCGATCATCCTGGCTTCTGGAGAGCTGCCACTGCTTTACTGAACTTATCAAACCATGCATGAGGGGATTGTTTGAGGCCATAAATAAACCTCTTGAGATGACACAACACTCCCCCTTGGATGCAAAACTAGGTGGTTGAGCCATATAGACTGACTCACCAAGGTCACAGTGCAGGAAGGCATTTTTAACATCAAGTTGATGAAGTGATCAATCTACATTAGCTGCAAGAGAGATTACCACACTAACAAAATTCAGTTTGGCCACACGAGAGAAGGTAGTATAATCAAGGCCATAAGTCTGAGTATAGCCTTTAGCAGCGAGCTTTGAGATGGTCAACAATACCATCGGGCTTCTTGTTAAAAGTGAAAACCCATCAACAGACAACCTGAGTTAAAGCATTTATTTCTTCTTCATTAGCTTTCCACCTTGGATGAGAAAGTGCCTCCCAGTAGCTAGAATTGAAGAAGAGCAATAGAGGATAACAACAAAGAAAAAGCTTGAAAGGAGACAATTTATTATATGATACAAAATTGGAAATAGGGTGATTGGTACAAGAACTTTTACCTTTCCGAATAGCAATAGAATGATCAAGATCAGAGGTCAGAGAGATGGAAGAATCTCCAGGCGTTGAAGCGACCGGTGGAAGTGGCAAGGCTGGGTTTACTACTTCAGTCGTAGGAACATGATTAATTATACTTGTTTCCAGCAACGAGCATAGCCGCGAAGAGCTAGTGGGATGTCAGAATAAAAAACTGAAGTTGGAAGAACAGACTCTTGAATAACATAGTCCTCCAAACGACTGCCTTCCTCGGAATAATAAGGAACATCCTCAAAGAAAGTTACATTTGCACACAAAAAATGTTTACGAAAAGTTGGGCTATAACATTTATATCCCTTTTGAGTGCGAGAATAACCTAAGAAAATGCATTTGTGGGCAAGAGGATCAAGTTTGTCTCATCCCGGGTTCAGATTATAAACAAAGCAAACACACTCAAGCACCTTTGGAGTAATAGAAAAAGGGTTTTTATTAGGAAACATCATTTAGAATGATGATTTTCCTTGAAAGGCCCTAGAAGGCATACGGTTTAAAAGATAAGCAGCAACAAGAAACGAATCTGTCTAAAAATATTTTGGGACATGCATTTGAATTGTTAAGACACAAGCGATAGCTAGGAGTGATCCATTCTTCCATTCAACAATTCCATTTTGTTGATTTATATTCAAGGGCATTGCTAGCAAACAATTTAGCATCAAACTGATTTTGAATTTCAGCACAAAAAGA